TATACTATAAATATGCTATAATAAAAATATTCACCACATGAAATACATTTAAAAAACCCAAGGTTTCAAAAGTTCTGTGTGTGTGTATGTGTGTGTATCAGAGAGGAAGGGAGAGGGAGAGATAGAAACATCAATGATGAGAGAGAAAATCATCAATCGGCTTCCTCTTGCATAACCCCTAATAGAGATCAAGGCCGCACCCTGGGTATGTGCCCTTGACCAGAATCAAACCCGGGACCTTTCGGTCAGTAGGCCAATGATCTATCCACCCAGCAAAACCAGCTAGGGCAGAAGGTCTATGTATTTAATTCTACGTATACCTGTATAAAAAAATCCATATTATCTCTCTATTATATATTTATTATATGACGTGATAATAAAGTAGCCCATATTATACCTTTTGAAGAAATGCAAATTAGTAAAGTACTCTTCCCCTATTCACAGAGAGAAAATTCTTCTGTAACAAGAAGTTTCCTTTAAGGGAGCCACTCACAGCAAAATGTGCCCAATTTTACTCTAACGGCCTGTCCTATACTGGAATAATGCCTTGATCCGATAAGCAGTCATGGCTATATATTGGGCTCATTGTGGGAAGAATGATATGGGAAGGAAGGTGAGAGTTTATGTTATGTGTTTTCCTTACAATCTGTATCCCTTAGGGGTAGCTAAGGGGGCCTGAGGGGATAGTCCTGACTGATCAGTGACATGATGTCTAACTGTAGTAAGTAATCACATCTGGTAACTGGTAAATTCAATCTTTTTCCTCTGTGTTCAGACGAGGTGTTGAGAACCCTTCGAAAGTGGTATTAGAATGCTCACATCCATTCCTCTGGTGTGGAAGAAAGAAAAGAGACGTGGAATAATTTCCAAAGACACAGACACTGTACTCAGTTATCCAATACAATAGAGAACTGAACAGAGTCCCTACCTTTAACTTTAAAGTTTAAAGAGTTCAAGCCCTAGTGCAGAATTCCTTCATGTCTGCAACATGGAATGGTACATGCATGTGATGGCAGTCCTAAGCGCAGGCTGCATGGGAGCACACCCAGGGGCAGCTCCCTACACTTAGGAAAGATTCAGAAAGGCTTCATGAAGAAAGGAAGAGATAACTCAATGAAGACTGGAAAGATCAGTAAAAGCCGGGAACATGTAGAGAGTTAGGGGTTGAGAAGAAGAATCTGGGCAGAGAAAAGAGCACCGGCAAAGGCTCAAAGATAAAGAGCGTGGTTATCTCAACAGCCCCGGGTAGTTGGATACAATAAGAGCTAGAAGGAAGAAACTTTGAGATAAAAGGCTAGAGAGTTGTAGGAAAAGGAGGAGGGGTCAGAGAACGGCCTCCTAAACTCGTGCTTCTCAAACTCTAATGTGCATTGGAAGAGCCTGGGAGTTTTGTTAAAAAAAAAAACACACAAAAAACACTCTGATCTAGTAGGTCTGGCATGGGTCCTGAGATTCTGCTTTTCCATCAAGTGTCCACGTGATACCAATGCTGCTGTTGATCACAGTTTTAGCAGCAAGGTTCTAAATCAGATCAATAAATATATATTCACCCAGAGAGTAATGGGGAAACTACTGGATGGATTTTTTTAAAAATATATTTTAATTTTATGTTTTTAATTGATTTCAGAGAGGAAGGGAGATGGAGAAATAGAAACATGAATGATGAGAGAGAATTGTTGATTGGCTGCCTCCTGCATGTCCTCCACTGGGGATCAAGCCCTGGATGGGAATCGAACCATGACTTCTTGGTTCATGGATTAATGTTCAATCACTGAGTCACACCAGCCCGGCACTGCATAGATTTTTAAGACGAGGAAGTACATGAACGCACGTGAATGTCAGAAAGAACACTCTGGTTGTCGCGTAGAGAATGGACATCACAAGACTAGAAGCTAAAAGCAGTTATAAGACCATAGCCATAATCCAAGGGGGAGATGACAGTGGCCAAACAGTAGCAATGGGAAGAAGAGAGCAGGGGACAGATTCAAGAGATAGTTAGGAAGATTTGGTGATAGCCTGGACAAGAGAGGAAGACATCAAGGAGATCAGACACAAATTTCTATTATGAGCCAATGGGTGACGGTGGTCCACTGACTGAGCTAGAGAAAGCAGAGGGAATGGGTTTGAGAGGGAAGATGGATTCGGTCGGAGGCAATGAGAGAGTGGGGTGTCTTTGAGTCCTCCAAGTAAAGATGCCTCGCAAACACAGGCTGATACGCTGTTCTGTAACTGGGCCTGGGCTGAAGATAGAGGTTTCAGAATTATCAGCCTGTAGATAGCATTTGAAGCAGATAAGCTTGTACAGGAATACAGGGCAGTGTAAGAAGAGTAGAGGGTCTGGACAGAATGTTTGCTATAGGTTATTAATCACTGGTCTATAGGTTATTAATGATTAATAGGTTATTAATCACTGGTCTATAACACATTGAGGGCGAAGAGGCTACCTTTTCTTGAATTTTCATTGAATATTTAAAAATAGAGCAGCTAAAGCAATAACGCAGTGTTGATTCACATGAAGACTATTGAAGCTGGCACCTCCAATCCACCTGCCTCACATAGAAAAAAAAAATCCCACAAAGAACTTCAAAATTGTCTTGAAGTGGCTTTAATGAAAATAGCAGACTCAGTGTTTTCAAGGACACAAATAAATGATTTTTTTAGATTATAGAATGATAGGACTTTAGATTATAGAATGATAGGACTTCAGCCTTCCTGCTACAATTTCTTCTTGACATTCTTCCAAACTAAATTTACTATTTAATATTTTTTTAGTTTGCAATTAAATAGGTACATAAGAAATAGAATGTCTACATTTACAAATGGGCAGCTTCAGTTATAATTTGCTCAAACTCAGAGACCATAATAAGGTGAGTTTAAACTCTGAAAGTTTACTGCTATGTAACATGGGGCATATTATTTCTAATCTCCTTGAACCTATTTCTATATATATATATATAAAGGAGATAACAGCTTATTGAAATCCCTGTACAGTGTCAGAAACTAGAAGCTGCTATGCAATTAATATAACTCTATATTGATTAATATAACTCTATATTCAAGCCATTTGCCTTCCTCATTTTGCTTGGATACAGAATCGAGTGTTGTACAATGAGCCTAAAGTGGCAAATGAGTCCACACAGAAAGGGGAGAGGTTCCAGAAAATTCTGGGGTCATGGAATCAGCTATAATCTATGAAACTTTAAAACTTGATAGCACCTACTGATCCAGCTATGGCTGCTCCAAGAACCTTTCCTGCTTCTCCCTAATTCTTGGAAGAACCCTAGGAGGGTCCTAGGATGTTTCTGAGCTTCTCTTGGTATCTGGGGAAGAGAAAATCAGGGAGAGAATCAGACGAAGTTGGAAAAAATCCCAATGGCCTGAGATGAGAGGTCTCATTTCAAGAGCCTGCTCCTCACAGCTATCTCCAGAAAAAAAGGGCGCCTGCCCAACGGATAAACAGTATCAAGTCTTGACGGTCCACCCGCAGGGTCGTCGGGGGTTCGCTGTTGTGCATACAGACCTGTGCAGGTTATGTCCCCAACGGTTACTCTGAAGGTGAAAGTGGGCACGTGTATTTGCATATCGGATCTTTCACACTCATAAACCGGGATGTTCTTGGTCTTCATGCCGTATTCGTGCAATACCTGAATCGGTGTTTTCCCCGGTTTAGCTGTAATCATCTTCCCCAAACTGCAAAAACAAACAGATAAAAAGGGTGTGCGTGCTTTGCATGCCAAAGCAGGGAGGAAAGCAGGAGCTTTGCAGAGGCTAGTTCTCACGGCCACCTCCGGTGATTCCCGAGCACCGAAGCTCCGAGGGGCCGGGGCACGCCATCTGCCCGCCCCTCTGCAGAGGGAGGCCCGCTATCGGGGAGATGGTTTGAATGAGGGTAGAGCGGATTCGCAACCTCTCAGGACCAGGCTCACAGATCTCATTCCCCGGGAAGCCCTGAACCACCTCCGCCTGCCCAGCCCCGGACCCAGGAGGACGCCAAAGGGGCGGGGCCCAGCCGCAGACCCAGGTTCGCGGGCCACCGAGGGCGGGTCCGAGCGCCAGCGGGTCCGCCCGCAGCAGCTGCGGGGGCGAGAGCGTCGGGAAGCGAAGGGGGGGGGGGGGCCTCTACCCACAATGCCGCTGGGGAGCCAGGCTCCCGGGCCCCGCCTCCCCGCCCACCACTCTCGGCCCCGCTACGCGCGGCCCCGGCCGCCCGCGCTGACCTGAAGGTCCCGCTGTCCTCGCGCTCCAGCGGCGGGGCCGCGGCGCGATGCCTGCTCTGGGACATGGCGAGAAGGGAGGGCGGGCTCGGCGGCAGGAAGAGCGCTGCGGATCGACGTCCTCGCTCCCCGGGTCGGCCGGTCCCCGAGAGGAACACTCCAGCGCCGCCGCCGCCGCCACCGCCTCCTCCTCCCCAACTCCTCTGCTTCCCTCCTCCGACCCCCACCCCCTCGGCTCCCCTCCTGCGTCCCTCCGGCGAGGAGGATGGGCGGGGGCGGGGCCTCGGCGCGGCAGCGCGGGTCCAGGCTCCCGGCCACGCCCCCTCGCTGTCCTGGATCCCGACCCTCCGCCAAGCTCCGCCCCGCCCGCCGCCTCTGCGGCGTTTGGCCCCGCCCCCTCGCTGCAGGCCCAGGCTCCTGGCCACGCCCCCTTGCTGTCCCGGATCCTAGCCCACCGCCAAGCTCCGCCCCACCCGCCGCCTCTTCTGCATCTGGCCCCGCCCCTCGCCGTAAGCCCCGCCCCGTCTCCCAGCCCAGGCTCTGCTTCCATGCGTACCCCACCTTGGGGCCTCCGGCTTCTTGGCATCCTGTGTCCCGGCCTATGGAGGCCTCAGTTCTGCGTCCTTAAAAGGAGGCCGTTTCCTGCTGGGAGAGAGAGGCTGGTGGGGTTGGCAGGTCTCACAGTCTGTGGGCCTGAAGCCCAGCCTTATTTTGTTGCGTGTGTTTTTTTTTCTGGCGGGGTGAAGGATGAAAATCCCAAAGGCCACATTTGTAGAGGGCATCCCTGGGCCTGGCCCGAAGCTTGAGGCTCGAGGTGCACCAGCCCCTGAGGGCTGCGGTGGCTCCTCCCTGCAGCCCTGCCTTGAGGAGCTCGCGGGGACGCCCAGAGACCCCTCCTTCTCTCTTGCTCCGGGGGCCTCTTTGTCTTACACAGGCTTTTGTCTTGAGAATAAATGTGGGGCCTGCGGATCCCAGCAAGGCCTGCTAGGTGTAAGCGAAGGCTTTTCTGTGAACCAGATTCTAATTAAATATTGTTCTCTGCACACCTGTGGTGTTGGTTGTGATGGCGTTTGCATGGGATGCACCACCTTTGTTTTGATAGGGGTCAGACAGCGACCTGAGATGCCCAATCCCTCTCTAGGGATTTGCTAGCCACTTGCAGAAATGACTCCCTGTGGTTTCTTGGTGTTTTGGAAGGTTCTTTGCACAACACTATTTGCACGAGGGGACATTAGTAAAAACTTCTTTGGAGGTTTGCACGTGAGCCCTGGATATCTGAAAGTAAATGTTTAAAAAATGTCCAGAATCTAATAAAATTGATTTATATTATTTGAGGCTTGAATCAACCTATTCTTCCTCTCTATATGTCTTGTATCGATTACTAGCCACCTAACTATGGCAATACAATATTTCAGCACTCAGATTTGTTTCTAAAGTGTATTTTAGCCACAAAATTCCTTTAAAAAACAAGACAAATCCTTATATTGCTCTCTTTAATGGCTGAGTTACTGATGAATAATAATGATGAAACAAAATGAAAATAAAGACAGTAGGATCCCCTTTCAAAGAGCTATCCATGTGCCAGCCTCAGGGTAAGAAACCCACATGTTTATACAGTTATTTATATGTAATGTGGTTTTCATTCAGGATTTTATAAAGATTTGCATACGTTTGTTTCCTTATAGTCTGTCACTCTTATTAATCACTTGCTGTAACAAGGAAAATGAATGAATTGCTGAAATGAACTATATACCATAAGAATTCAAAACAGTACTTTTCTGTTGCCAGAGTTGGCATGATGGACTTGTGAAGGAATTCCCTTTGGACTAGGTACAGGGTAGCTGGTGTCCAGGCTAACGTTAGTGCATAATTGCATTTCCCTCAAAACTGGCAGACTACTAGTAACCTTGACCTTCACTAGCATTTTAAAATTATTAGTTTCCTATGTATATTTTAGTGCTATAGACTGCAGTTCCACATTAGACTCACTTTCAGTATATCACTTTACACTGTTGATCTATAATTCATCACCTGAGCACACCAAGGGAGGCAGTGTTGTGAACTGTTCACTGTAAACTACTTGGTGGAACCATGCTTTTTATTTTTAAAATATATAATCATATTTAAAATCAAGTAAGGTTTAGATTTGTTCCTGATTTTCTTTGCAAATATGGATTTGTTATCTGAGGGTTGCAGTTGATGGGTATTTTGATACTATATTAATATGTTTGCTGCTGCTACCAAGAGCTTTGTCAAGCAAGTTGGAGATGGAGGGAGATTAGTTCCTGTTCCAAGCCTCAGTGAAGCTGACAAATACCAACCTCTAAGTCTGGTGGTGAAAAAGAAGCGATGCTTTCTGTTTCCTAGGTACAAATTTACCTCGACACCCTTTACGCTGAAAGATATTCTTCTAGGAGACAGAGAAATTTCAGCTGGTAAGTTCAAATGTCTGTTTGAGAGTCACTGCTTATTCAGCTACATTGTTGGTAATCTAAACATAGGTCATTTTTACTGCTTCTGTTCATAATATTTACACATTTTCATTGATAAAAGCAACTTTTATTGCTATAGCAGTAATAATATTATTATGATTAACAGTGCCTAAAGTTTGTAATAGTATCAAATCTCTTATTGATCAAATAACTTTGAAACCTATTTTATAAGATTATTTTATTTCAATTATCTTATTGTTTTAATCAAATTAGCTTAGGAAATGGCATAACAATATATTTTTTCATCTATGAAATGGAGGTATTATTTAGTCTTACCTATCTCACATGGGCAAATGAGATGAAAGTAATTTGTATTTATTTTTTATGATTTACTTATTACAGTTGGCAAACAAATATATTACAGTCTTGGTTAGAAAATAAATGGACATTGAGACAAATTATTTCTTAGAAACATCTGCTTTTCTTTCAACTATCCAGTGGATCATGATGCATAAGAAATTCTGTCCAAATTGAGTTCATTTTAAGCACTCTGGCTATTTATTTCTTCTTGTTTTCTCATTAATTGGATGACTATATTTAATCTTGGTTTGAAACTTTGCCTTTCTTAATAGGTCGTTAATGAAGTCTTAAATAGCAAATTAATGTGTTACCATATGTAATCTACATTAGAATAATTAGTGACATTTGAAAAATATTAACTTCCTTTTTTAAAAAAGGTATTTCATCTTATCAGCTACTGAATTATGAAGATGAATCAGATGTTTCACTCTATGGAAGGCGAGGCAACCATATTGTGAATGATGTGGGGATTAATGTTACTGGATCAGATTCTGTTGCCGTCAAAGCTTCATTTGGTGTAGTCACTAAACATGAAGTGGAAGTTTCAACATTACTCAAGGAAATTAGTTCACGGTCAGTATAATAATTATTGTCCTGTAGTGTTCTCATTATTTTTTTTAAATTATGTAAACTTCATTATAAATTATTAAAACATTCAGGTTTGTTTTAGTAATGTAATGTATTTGTTTGAAATAATACAAATTAGTAATATACCCAAACTTTTGATAGGAGTAGGTATCCAAAATCATTTAGTTTACAGAGAATTTTTAATTGTCCCACAAAATTGCTTTGGATATGAATACATTTGCTAAATTATTAGATTAAAAGAATACAGGAATCTGCTTGCAACGAATATGCTAAAAGAGTCTCTCCAATAGACTCCTCAAGTAAGCATGTTTTAAGAAAATAGAAAGGAGAGGCAGATTATTCCATTTCTTTTGAGCATCCTTACTGATTTGTGTTAAGCCTGCCTTGATTTACTTTTAATTAAGGTAAACTGTGAATGAGTAATGCATGATAGCAAAAAATGTATTGGGTGATATGTAGTCAGATGCCATAGATTCTTGTGACTGTCTCTCTCGTTTATTTTAGAAAAATTAATTTTGACCACAGCTTGATACGTCAGTCAAGGAACAGCAGAAAGGCAGTATTGTGTGTTGTCATGGAAAGCATTCGAACCACACGGCAGTGCTCACTGTCTGTGCACGCTGGAATTCGTGGGGAATCCATGCGGGTAAAGGCACACTCATTAAGCTTCTTTTATTAGAAAGCTGCAATGGGAATGTTTTTTTAAAGTACTCAAATTCCAATGGGACTTGTGTATTTGGTCAAATATTGAGATTAAAGAACTGCAATGATATAAAGGATTTTGCATAGTAATGGTTTTGTATTAGAATGTGAAAAAAAAAATCCAAGAAAATTTGGATTGTAAACATGTCTAATATAATGAAAACAGAATACTAGTCCTCCTGAAATAATATACACACTGGAATCCCTCCTATTGCTATTTAAATACTGTCTTAAGACTAAAAATTAGATAATTTTACTGAATTCTTTGATATCATTTTCAAGTAATATAGTTTATATTACTTAAATTTTAAAAGTTGAATTTATAGTTTTATAATAAACTCATTTTTCTAAAATAATATTGTCAGTGACTAAACATACTTCAATGTTAAATCTTTTTTTTTTTAAATATATTTTATTGATATTTTACAGAGAGGAAGGGAGAGAGATAGAGAGCTAGAAATGTCAATGTGAGAGAAACACCGACCAGCTGCCTCCTGCACACCTCCCACCAGGGATGTGCTCGCAACCAATGTACATGCCCTTGACCTGAATTGAACCCGGGACCTTTCAGTCTGCAGTCCGACGCTCTACCACTGAGCCAAACTGGTTTCGGCCAATGTTAAATCTTTTTAAAAGTCTTAAAAGTAATTGTGTATATTACTTCCATTATTATATTTGTCCTTGTCATTCACATAATAATGATTTGATTTCTAAATGTTAGAAAGACAGGGTTCAATGATAACCTTTTCAAGTCTTTGATAATAAAGCTTATATTTAGCTGCTCACTAAATTGTTTAACATTGGGTCATTTGGGCATGAACTTGATTTTGGTGATTGCTTTGGAAAGCTGCTAAAAGCTCTGTGGGCTTTGGGACAGTAGACAGGGTGGGCTTAAAGAAAGCCCTAGCACGTAAGCACAGTTGGTTTGCATTTGAAAGAAAAAGGCTTCTATGCCAGAGAACTAACTTTTGTGGTAGTACCAGTCATTGGCTCCTGTTACCAAAGTAAGGGAGGAGTGGTGAGTGCCATTTCCTAATGTAGATCGAGATCCCATCGGACCATTTGGAACTCTGCTATGAAGTTTACTTCCAGTAGGATAGTTCTTTACTTGGAGAAGTGTTTTGTTTGCTTATTTCCTTTTGATAGGATTGAGGGAAATGTTATGTTCCTCCAACAAGTTATCCTTACACGTTATGCTCCTAAATAATGTTATTTATTTATTTATTTATTTTTAATATAGTTTCATTTTATGGATGAACAGAATCCCAGGGGAAGGGACAAAGCTATTGTTTTCCCAGCACACACAACCATCGCTTTCAGTGTTTTCGAACTCTTCATCTACTTGGATGGTGTCTTTGGTGAGTGAGTGATTTGTATGAAACACTGAATTGACTATATTTTTAAGAATTTAATTATCTCGCTTTGCCTCTGTAATTATAGAGCAGTGATGCTCTCAGCATTGTCAATCTTTTTTCTAAAATATGTTTTTATTGATTTCAGAGAGAAAGGGAGGAGAGAGCATCAGAAACATCAATGATGAGAGAGAATCTTTGATTGGCTGCCTCCTGCATGCTCCCCATTGGGGATCAAGCCTGCAACCCAATGGGACATGTGTTCTGACTTTCTGGTTCATAGGTCAATGCTCAACCACTGAGCCACACCTCTGGGCAGCACTGTCAAGCTTATGCTTGGATGAAGTAGCTAGAAATGGCTCTTTACTCCCTACTTAGCCAGTACCTCTTTCTGGTTCTTGATAAAGGCTATAGACTTCCACCATCCCACTTACAATTACAGATAAGAGCTAAAATGCAATCCACCGACAAAAGTATTCCTTGACTTATGGGGAGATAACACATGGACTGCTAATAGATAGTTTTTTATTATGGCAAACAGAGAAGTAAACAGTAAGATGCCTGAAGATGTCAGGGCACCCAAACTAGTATACCTAAAGACAACTTTTCTTTAATTTTTATCTATTAGAGATCCTCCCCACCTCAACTCTCCTTAAAAATAACTTTAAAAGTACAAACACTGCCCCTAAAATTGTCACCTTATGCACTGTCACCTCAGTGCAGCTTTATTTTTATTTAAAAAAATACATATTTATTGATTTAAGATTGGAAGAGAGAGATAGAAGCATCAATGATGAGAGAGAATCATTGATCAGCTGCCTTCTACACAGCCCCTACTGGGGTTTGAGCCTGCAACCTAGGCATGAGCCCTTGGTCAGAATTGAACCTGGGACCCTTCAGTCTGCAGGCTGATGCTCTATCTACTGAGCCGCTAGGGCAGTGTAGCTCACCTTAGATTTCTATACTTCACAGACCTTTAAGGTTAGGAGGCCAGCCAGCTTGAGACTAGGTGTAGGCCAAAGGATCAGGCAAGTGAGCCCTCTGGCCACAGTAATTTATAGACATTTTTAGACCTGTTTATGTTTGTTTCTGCAGTTCTATTGGAAGGAGGACTAGGGAGTCCAGAGACAAAACAAAACATGCAAATTAAATTCTCTTTGGGACCCTTCAGGTGTAGGTTTTTTACAATTATATTGTTAGGAGGAGTCTGAACTGATAGAACTGATATCCATCAAAATTTTAAATGGGCATATACTTTAGCGTTGCTTATACTTTTAGGAATTTAACATATAGATATACTTGTGTGAAATGATATGGGGATAAGGATATTCAGTTCATAATAGTAGAAGACTGGAAATAATCTTAAGATCTATTATCAGCAACTAAATAAAGGTGCATCCATATAAAGAAATACTAAGAATGAGGAAGCACTACATATCCTGACATTGAATAATTTCTAAGAGATACTTGAAAGAAGTGTGTGTAATATATAATGTTTTGAGCCTAAAGCATTTTGTGTACATACATACTTATTCCTTTATGCATGTAAAATATATGGAGCATTTCTGGAAATATACACAAGAAAGCTAACATGGTTACCTCTGGGGTGGAAAACTGAGGCTGGGGTCAGGGTAGTCTAGAGATTTGTCACTATACCGCCTTGTTGTGCTCTTTGAATTCTGTACCATGTGAATGTTGCCTTTCCTAAAAATATGTAAAATTTAGCTTAAACAAATACAACCAAGTCATGTACCGGAATTCATCAGCCACAAAATATGAGTTCAACTTATAACATCTTCTAAATTCTCTTGTAGACCTTTGTGTCACTTCAGTGTCAAAAGGAGGATTTGAGAGGGAAGAGACGACAACATTTGCCGTGCTCTACAGGCTGAGGAACATACTGTTTGAAAGAAGTATGTCCGTGTTCACTGAAGAGTATTTCAAATGTGTCCTTCTTCTTCTGAGGTCAACACTTGAGGTTGTTTATGAGTAATCCTGTTAAGAATTTAAATTTAAAAGCCAAATTACTTCATGACTGATGGCTTAGATTCACCTGGTTATAAATGCAGCTTGGTTATTTGTTGTTTTTTTAATTTGACTTCTGACACATTTCTCTGTGTTTGTCTTTAGACAGAAGAGTGATGGACGTCATTTCTCGTTCGCAGCTTTACTTAGACGACCTGTTTACTGACTACTACGACAAGCGTTTCAGCATGACCGATATTTCACTCAAAGAAGGGACTCACATCCGGGTTAACTTACTGAACCACAACATTCCCAAAGGGCCGTGCATCCTCTGTGGGATGGGGAACTTGAAAAGGGAGACGGTGTATGGGTGCTTTCAGTGCTCTGTCGATGGGCAGAAGTACGTGAGGCTTCACGCAGTTCCTTGTTTTGATATTTGGCACAAGAGAATGAAATAAAATGAGAAATGAATGCACTTTGCTGGTGTTTAAGGTGCAACGGTGCCACATACCTTTTCCCCCCAAATGAACTGTGGCAAATTAAAGGAGGAAAGAAATTAACCTGGGCATCGTTTTCTTCATGTATGACATGCAGGTGACAACAGTCTCCTCATAACTTGTATGAAGGTGAATATTTTTATGTGGAAAAAAAGGGCTTAATTATAAAATGAAGGATGTAGATGCTCCTCCATAAAACCTGCCACTTACATTAGAAGTATTTTGGGGGATTTAGTCTATCATTTTAGGTAACTTTTTACATAGAGATTTTTTGAAATACCAATTTTATTTTTAATTGGCTTTTTACTAACATTTAAAGATGAAAGGCTGCACAAGAGGCGACTTTATGGTGCTTTAACTCTTGCCCTGTTTCTGGTAAAATGAGAAAAAATGTGTTAATAATTTATTGTAACCGAAGTGTTTGATTGCAGTATCAAGTTAAAAGCACACTGAGCTGTGTGGGGCGTTCTGTACACAGTTGACAGGGTGACTGATAATAATAATAATGGGCTGCTATGTACAGTTGCTCACTCGCTTTGGCTTTATAAAACTCACTGCTGTCATTTTAAAGTTAAGGCAGCTAGGAAATGTTTATTTCTTTTCCCCCCTGAAAATATTTTAAACATTTAACATATTTAGTTCTGAGATCTTTTTCATCTACTCTGTAAGATGTCTGAAATTTGTCATAAACAGCCTAAAATTATTTACTATATACTCTCATGAAAATAACTGCAAAAATAATATGTTCAAATTCTAGAACTCACAGTGTATAATTATACCACTCATTTCTAGGTATATGCCTATGAAGGCGTAATGCAGTCATGTAAATATGAACTACTTGTGCACTATAAGCATGTAGAATAATTAAAATTTTATTTTTTAACTAAGGGTGATTAGTTTCAGAATCAATCTCTGTATTAACATCAACTATAATCTTTTAAAAGTTAAGTTTAAAAGCACTTTGTATGAAAACAATGGGACAGAAGGTTAGAATAAACTTTGTATTATCTGATAATTTTCATTTATATCTTCTGTCACTGTATTTTATTTTAGACAGAGTATATGATTCTAGGGCAAATATGGGGATACAGACCAAACAAGGGCCTAGTGACTTTTTTATACAAAAAAAGTGGGGGCAGTTTCCAAACCAAAGCATAATATTATCAACTTAGTTTACTTCTACTGAGCAGGTTTTTCTGAAGAAAGCAAAGAGATGAAGTTATAAAACCGGGCAGAGGAATGATGCAATCTTGGCAGGAAAGAAAAAAAATAGTAAATGTTTTTGTTTTATGAAGTGTCAAACTTTGTGCTATGCCTATGTGACATCCACTAACCGGGTGGGTTTTGTGTTATCCCTACCCTTTTAAGTAACAGATTTTCTGGCAGTATATCAAAAGAGGTTAAAAGATAGTGGTTTGGAAAGAGCAAGTTTCAGAAAATGCAAAAGCTTTGTTTTGAACTCACCTGTTTTGAACAGAGCTATTTACTGCCTGACCATTCCTTCCTACACATGCAGTAGGCTAAACCTTACATGTTCTAATAAACATGTGCCCTTTCTTTGCTACCAACTGCATCTACAGCATCTCTCACCTCTTTTTCTCCACAAGTTGTACCATGTCATGATTTGACCATGACACAAAATTGCCATGGGACATTTATTTTGTTTCTCTTTTGAAAATGTTTAAAACATTTAACATATAGTTCTGAGAGATATTTATGAATCCTCATTTCTATCCTCATTTGATATTTTCATGTATCCTCATGTGTAAAATAAATGATATACATTTATAAAAAATTTGATGAGATGTCAGTTTGTAATGTTCATTCATAATTAATAACAAAATCATCGTGAAATGAAATGACATATGATAGAAATACTAGAGAAAAGAAACTACAGACTAAGAAATACCATGACATCAATTTAAAAATCAAGACAGAAAGTTAGGGATGGTAGATATAAAAGCCTATGAGAAGGAAGAGGAGGGGCACATTTATCATGATGTCTAAAGGAGTACAAGACTCAGAGCAGTCTAGACTGTATTATGTCTGCTATAAGAGGCACAATTTGATCAAACATCTTTAACAATCTCCCATTGGAACAAATATATAAAGTCAGAAGCTTGCATCAAAAAGTACAGAGACTGTGTTGAAGCTCTCTGTGAGACAGGGTTATACAACTCATATTTTCCTGCATGCACACCAAAAGTAGACTGTTCAGTTCTATGCTTTTTACATACTACTACCTACTCGTATGCTATGAGAGGTATAAACAGTGAAATGTTAATTTCTTGGTCCCTATTGAAAATTTTAAAAATATGGGCATTTTAACATTTAAAACATTAAAAAATGGTTACTTACAACATGTGCACACGTTGTTAGATTAGAGTTGGGAAGAGTTTTGTAGATTTTGCTATAGATGTCCTCCAAAGTGGGAGAATTGCCCACTGGGACACAGTCAGGTCAGTTTCATGGTTCTGCAACTCATGTTCACAGAATTAAATTTGCAACATAGCCTCACATTTATTCCAAACTTACATGATTGAGGAGATCAAAATATGTCCTCATCGGGTGAAGTAGAAAATACAACTTGGAGAAAGTGACCTTGTTTTATATATAAAGTACAGTAAGTAGCTAAGGAAATTGAGAAATAAAAATATGCTATAGTTCATCATGTTGATATACATTGTATTCCTTGGGAGAAATGAAGCCATCACCATCATGGTCATTCTTCTTAAAAATATCTTCTAGAACTGCATTCTGATATGACTTGTCACGTGGCTTATCATCTTTTTCAAAGTCCTTTTTCAGGTACTGATCTATCTGGAGGGCCAAAATAACATTTCATTAATAAGAAGAAATCACAATACATTTCTAGTAACTTTGTAGAAATGTTTTATAAAGAAACTCACAAGGAAGAATGCTTATAAGTGAAATAAAAAATTTAAAAAGCTGTTTGAGGTTTTATTTTTTTAATCTTGGAAGCAATTCTCTGAAGAGAAACCAATCTTCCCTTGGAGTTGTAGATGGTTAGTGGTATAAGTTCAAAGATTGATATATAAATTGAATTTTGTTGAAACTAAATGCTTTCTAATAATTTATACTGGCCACATTACCAAAGGAAATTCACTAAAGATTTCTATTAATGAATTTTATTATTTCATTAATTTATTAATGAAATAATAAATTATTTCATCTATTTACTTTCCATTAATGAATAAAATACAAATTGGTGTTTCTATGATCTCTAAAATTAATAAATATGCTGCATAATCAATAAAACCAACCACAGGTTTTAAAATATAATTTTTTAAATTATTCTATGCTTCTATATCTCCTTCAAATCTGCAAACTACAACAATCTCTCAAATAATAATGTCAAATAAAGAACAGGTATTCTGAAATATTTCCTTTTCTCTATATAATATGATATTTCTCCAAGCAAAGACATTATTATAAACACTGCCTAACACAGCAGCCACTAGCCACAGCCAACTACTAAGCACTTGAAGTGTGATTAAATAAAAATGAGATATGCTACTTGAGGATAAAATACACAACAAATTTTGAAGGTAATAAAAATATCTTGGTAATTTTTATATTGACTTAATATAAAATGGTAATATTTTAGATATCCTGATTTAAACAAAACATATCATTGAAATTAATTTCACCTGTTTCTTTTTTTAAAATGATGTGGTGGAACTCAATTATATTTCCATTAAAAAGAGCTGATATGTAATAACTGAAGAAATCAATGCACAATGATCTAGAAATAATGTTCAGCTGAGCATTGTAGAGGCAAGAGTGTATGTAAAGGCTAAAGTTGAACCCTGAGAGGTTTTTAGCAATCCATATCCCAAACTCAATCCTTAGACTCTAGTTAGAATGACTAATGGATCTATCAACTGTTCTCAAATGGGACTTTGGTCCTATATGATGAAGATACATTTTCTTCCCAGTGAGCCTTAGAAATCCTCTGTAGATATAAAGAATTTTAAATAGCATAAAATATTCCTCAGTTTCTAAATAAATGAAATATATTTTCCTCATCAATGTTGGTGACTATACAAATGTACTTTTCTAATACACTGCAGTGAAGAGGCACAAAAAGGCAGTGCATAATTTTGCTGGCAATGGGATCCATACTATTTCCACTTTGTAATTTATTAAAAACACTGTATTCCTCCACTCCCCCACCTGACTTATACTGAATAAATAACTGACTAAATCTTTCTGAAGATGAAGGAAAGTAGTTTATTTTAGTTCATGTTTGAAATCTAGGCTCTGCCATGTACTGTTTGTGTAGTCTTAGATAAATAATTTAGCCTCTCTGAACCTCAGTTTTGTCATCTGTTAAAGGAAGGAATCAATAAAGATATATTTGAAAAAAAGGGAAGAAAATATAATCTATACTGTAGGATTGATGTGAAGATTAGAGTCATGTTTACAAGTGTCAAGGATAGATAACGATTGTTATGAAAATCAAACATGTTAAAATCACTCTTACCTATCTAGTGATAATGCAGTTAATCCCTGATACCCAAGAATGTAGGCAAATCTGGGCAAAATGTAGGTAAGCATGTCTCTATTTTGGACATTCTCTATTTTTTTTCCAGAAAAAAACTAAAGATCCCCTAAGGTCTACTGAACATTCATACTGAAGAACGTGTCTGTTGGTGTACAAGTAATATTGAGGGGTATGTGTACACAGGCTGAGCTCCTGAGTACTATATGAATTCATCTGCAGTTGCTGTTCATTCTAAAAAGGGTGATGAGCCCTAACTGGTTTGGCTCAGTGGATAGAGCATAGGCCTGCAGACTGAAGGGTACCAAGTTCGATTCCGGTCAAGGGCATGTACCTTGGTTGCAGGAACATCCCCAGTAGGGCGTGTGCAGGAGACAGCTGATTGCTGTTTCTCTCTCATCGGTGTTTCTAACTCTCTATCCCTTTCCCTTCCTCTCTGTGAAAAATCAATAAAATATATATTTTAAAAATAAATAAAAACGGTGATGAGTTGACAGAAAGTATTGTACTGGGAACAGTTTGCCACACCTCTAATGGCTACACTTAAGGAAAGGGGCATGTTCTCCTTCTCTTATCCCTCTTCTGTTATTGATCAACCAAAGAGCTTCAGGAAAAAGTCCTTACTAAGATCTTGGAGGAGGTAGTAGAATTAGGGTGGGCAAACCATTGAAGAAGGAAGAGAAAAAGAAACAGAAAAAGGTCATACACATACATACACACATACACACACACACACACACACACACACACACACACACACATACACGTTTTTTACAGAGAAGAAGGGAAAGGGATAAAGAGTTAGAAACATCAATGAGAGAGAAACATCGATCAGCAGCCTCCTGCACACACCCTACTGGGTATGTGCCAGCAATCAAGGTACAAGCCCTTGACCGGAATCGAACCTGGGACCTTCCAGTCCGCAGGCTGACACTCTATCCACTGAGCAAAACCAGCTAGGGAGGGTTTTACTTTTTTTTTATCCCTTGAATCAGTGAAACGGTTGCCTTTTTAAAAAAATGATTGCTGCTTCTTTAGTTTTTAAAATATATTTATATTGATTTCAGAGAGGAAGGAAGAGGGAGAGAGAGAAAAACATAGAAGATGAGAGAGAATCAGCAGTAGGCTGCCTCCTGCATGCCTCCTACTAGGGATTGAGCTGGCAACCCAGACATATTCCCTGACAGGAAATCAGACTCATGACCTATTCTCAACTGCTGAGTCACACCCGGATGGATCCCAGTTGTCTTTTATTATTTAAGTGATAAGAGTTATGCATGTTAAACTGCCTCCAAATGGGAGGGGAGACAAGGCACCAGACTTCAATGAAATGAACATTAGCTGTGAAACACTCATGATGAAGAACATGATAGTGGAGTCAGATTGCTGGGTTTGCAGTCAGGTTTTGCCACTTAGACCTGTGTTGCCTTAAGCTAGTTACTTAACCTGTCTGGGTGCCACTTGCACCTTCTATAAAATGGAGATGATGGCAATAGTATCTACCTCATGTATTGTCAAGGTCACACACTATTGCAGGCGTCCTCAAACTTTTTAAAGTGGGGGCCAGATTATGGTCCCTCAGAGAGCTGGAGGGCTGGACTATATGAACTACTAATTCCTACTGTAACACCTTGGCTGCGCTCACTGCCCAAAAAACCTGGCGGGCCGGATCAGACTCCTCTGCGGGCCGCAGGTGGCCCGCGGGCCGTAGTTTGAAGACCCCTGCAGTGACTATTGGGTTTATAACTATACCTGGTACTGAGAAGGTATGAAAAATTATTGTTATGAGATCTTTATCAATTCCTCAATTCATAATATAAGACTAACTGGGATGCAGAAGCTAGGTAGCTGAACTCCTGAGAACTGTTTACTAACTTTCCAATATACACAATTTAAATTTTGGCTAGCTTTTTTTTTTTTTTTTTTTTTTATTAAAAAAACATATTTTATTGATTTTTTATAGAGAGGAAGAGAGAGGGATAGAAAGTCAGAAACATCGATGAGAGAGAATCATCCATCAGCTGCCTACTGGGGATGTGCCCGCAACCAAGGTACATGCCCTAGACCGGAATGGAACCCGGGACCTTTCAGTCCGCAGGCCGACGCTCTACCCACTGAGCCAAACCGGTTTTGGCTTTGGCTAGCTTTTTCCATAACCTTATGTAATCCTCACAGTCCTATGAGGTGGGAATTATTTGCTCTGTTAGACATTCCTATAGTGCTGCTTAAAAGAGATCTGCTTCTGTAGTCCAGTTGCTGGAAATGCCTCCTAGAGATTAGTATGGTATTGCAATGGCCCTCTTGTAGGGAGAGAAGAAACTGAACAGAATGACTAAGTTTTGTTTTGAAAAAGCTCGTTTTCTTCTTGGAGCTCTGATTTTTTGTAACCAGCTCTTATATTAAAAGCTAAGTAATCAGTCCATACTAGGTAAAAGTAAAAAAATAAGAGTTGTAACAAAAATGCACTTAGTGTATGTTAAAAAATTAGGCTGTACACACGAAATCTGTTTGAATTACCTCAGCCTTGGAGAGTTGCCTGTCATTGTCTGTGTCTATCTGCTTAAAGGTTTCAATACTTCGTGGTCCTTTGGTCACAGCATAAAGTTCAATCTCAAAAATCAATGTTGCATCAGGTGGAATCTTGCCTTCTGCTAAAAGTATAAAATTTTAACAGTTTAACTTACATGAAGATAATGTTTAAATATTTATTCATAAGTAGCCATTACAGCATTATGATTATACTATTTTATATCTATAAAAATTGTGCTCTAAATACTTTTTAGAAATTTTTTACAAATGTTTTTAAACCAAGTCAGTTCTAAGAACTTAGGGGACCATTATTCCATAATTAAACAAAAATGAATATAAATAATATAATTTTTATTAATATACCCACCATTTTAAAGGAGAGAGCTAGTGCAGAGAAGAAATACCTGGGCAGAAAAATCTCAAAGCATAGATCAGTAATCTTTTAGAAAATGATTTTGTATAGTTATTTGGGAGCATAAACAAAACATATATATCAATCTATTTGTCTTTTAAATTCTTTATAGATATTAAAAATAAAGTATAATGACAGAGTAAATCAGTAACAATTTTATGAAGAAATTTCTAAACACAACAAAAAAAATTAAGTATTAAGTTGAACAGATCTCCTTAATAAAGTTAATCTATTAACTGATATCACAGATGATTTTAGTATGTAGGCTTTGGCTATTTCAGATGTTCATTTCATAAAAATAACCTTTAAAAATGACTTGGGAGGGCATGTTTGGGAATGGGGGTGGGGTGGGGATTGGTAAGGTATGTACACATATAATATCTTTTTAAAAAAATATATTTTATTGATTTTTTACAGAGAGGAAGGGAGAGAGAGATAGAGAGCTAGAAACGTCGATGAGAGAGAAACATCGACCAGCTGCCTCTTGCACACCCCCTATGGGGATGTGCCCACAACCAATGTACATGCCCTTGACCGGAATTGAACCTGGGACCTTTCAGTCCGCAGACCAACGCTCTACCACTGAGCCAAACTGGTTTGGGCACATATAATATCTTAATAAAAAAAACAAAAGAAAAAAAACTTGTTCTGCTTTAAAAAAAAATGACTTGGTACGAGGCAGTGAGTGGTTTGTGTCACTGGTATATTCCTAGAGACTCTCAGAATGTCTGATTCTTATCACTCAACTATTTGTTGAATGAATGCCAACTACCCTTTATTTTTAAAATGGCTAATTTTGTTCTTTTAAGAAAACAGTAATTTCTTTAATAAAAACAAAACAAAAAACAACCCCAGAGGATTCTTGCTAAAGTGCTTATACATATATTCCAAAAAATATATCTTTGGATCATCATCAGTCATCTCAAAGCCAGGACATAGAACAATCTTCCTGTGCATCACGTGACTAATGTGATCATCCCAAACAAAGCAGCACCTGTTACCCGATTTTAGAATAAAAGAGCTAGAGATTGACTCAATGATCACTTTTTAAAACCCATTCCTCTTCCATCCAGTTATGATCTTCTTATAACAAAACAATAATTAAAAACAAATTCCAAATGCAAATTCTAATTTCTTAAGAAAAAATATTACAGGTTCAAGTTTCTGAACAATTCTACTATAAACATAGAAAATATTGCCAATTCTTCTTTTCTCTTGCAAAAAACTATATCATAAAGAAGAGAAATGTGCATTTGCTACAGTTACTTGTATTTAGAGAAGTAGATCAAAGACATAGGAGTTAATGTGAAGAATCTATACATACCACATGTACTGTTAATTAAAGCACAGACAAGTCACATGCATTTCAAGACATGCAGGGGTGTGCTGCGACATGAGGCAAGGACATTGCGCAGAAGAGAGACTTCTTCAAGTACTCCCTAAAACAAAGTTATAACTTACATTAGTTCCTAATCACTTATTTTTAAAAGCTTATTTCACCAAGAAGTTTTGTTAAGCAGCTACTTATGGTCTACACTGCAACTTTTAAAATAATCCAATCTGAGCTATTGTCGTGCAGATAAACTTGCAGTGAATTACATTCTAAACAACACACCCGTTTGTTTGGGCCTTGGTTCCTCTCTGTGTAAAATGAAAGTGTTGGTGGTATTACTAGTGAAATTCATTCTTTTTATATATTTTTGGAGACACTTCAAATTGAATATGAACCAACTTCAAGTCAAATTTCCACATCTCCACAGCAAGGGTTTTTGGTTTAATAGTAGGTTAGGCAGCTGGCTTAGTCATTCACGCATAAATTAGTTTACAAAAAAGATAAACTAAGCAATCATTCGCCTTAAGGTAACAGGACACTAGATAACATCTATTGATGAGGGATGTGGGTGTAGGCTGATAGGGAAGCAGGTGCTCTGGCAGTAGGCAGAATGTGGAGGCATCTGATGGGAAAACACAAGAAAGGGAAACTGGAAATGAGATTAAAGAGACTGACGGGCAAACTTCGCCTGTTATCGTGTTGCCTAGAATTGGCTTCAACCTTTGGCAATATTTTTAGGACAAGTATTGCATTCACTTTTATTTATCTTCAATTTTTTACTTCTCTTCTTGTTTCCTCTACAATTAAAAATAGAATATATAGCACTGGCTAGTTTGGCTCAGTGGATAGAGCGTCAGCCTGCAGACCAAAGGGTCCCAGGTTCAATTCTGGTCAAAGGCACATGCCTGATTGCAGGCTCGGTCCAACATGCAGGAGGCAGCCAATCAATGGATCCTTCTCATCATTTATGTTTCTGTCTCTCTCTTCCTCTCTGAGAACAATAAAAATATATTTAAAAAAAAAGATAGAATATACAAATTATGGTTCAGTGGCAGCTATTTTGTTGGGACCAAATGATTGGTAAATAGCATTGAAAATGAAGCTGTAGTTATCTGAAACTGTCTCTTGAGAAATTTTAAGTCTGAACGGGTCTGACTCGCACCACTAACCTCCCTCCAATCCAGTTTAGAGCAGTGATCCTTGCTCTTGCTGAGAAGAAGACGCGAGGGAATCACTACTCTTAATGAGTAAATCAACAGCCTCAAAGAAGGCATGATATTTCAATGAAATATTTGGAAGTTAATGACAATATTTTATTGGAGAAAATTAATCTTTAATTACTTTAATTATATATTTAATATTTCAAAGAGGTGGAGTTACCAAGGACTCTAGACAGAATGAAGAGGCTTTAAAGATTCTTTAACATCCTTACACAGCAGTAGGAAGCAAGGACTTAATTGAGAATAAAATATCAAAACTGTTCCTCTGACAGACTGCCCATTTCTAAAGTTTATCTATTCGCTCCGCTTTTAATTTTAGTGTTTTTTATTTTATTTTAATTTTTAAAAAATAAATATATGCACACGGTGAAAAATTTAAACAGTACAATATATTACAGAATGAGAAGAAATCTCCTCTCCCTTGACCCTGAGGCCGCCTTCCCAGGACCACTTAATGTCATCAGATTATCTGTGTATTTTTCTTTTCTTTTTTTTTTTTTTTTAATATATTTTATTGATTTTGTACAGAGAGGAAGGGAGAGAAATAGAGAGTTAGAAACATCGATGAGAGAGTCATCGATCAGCCGCCTCTTGCACACCCCCAACTGGGGATATGCCCGCAACTGAGGTACATGCCCTTGACCAGAATCGAACCTGGGACCTTTCAGTCCCCAAGCCAATGATCTATCTATTGAGCCAAACAGGTTTCGGCTATCTGTGTATTTTTCCAGAGAGAGTCTACCTAGATACATGATGCATATGAGAGATTCTTCCTTGTACACATAAGCTCATTGAGGATAGAAAGTTGTTTCTGCATTGTAAACAGCTTCTTTTTACTGGCTGAATCCATTTCATAAGTATACCATGATTTATTTAACTGATTTCCTACTGATGGATACTAAGGTAGTTTCCAGTCTTTTGCTACCAAAAAGACTGCAATGAACGTTCTTTTACATATACTTTTGTGCATATTCATGGTAATGGAACTACTGGGTCAGAGAAAATATGCATTTTAAATTTAGATAGAAATTGCTATAGAGTTACAATGATTTACATTCCCAGTAATAATGCATGAGCCTACTGTTTTTTCCATACCTTTGTCAACTTTTATGTCTTTGCAGATTAGAAAAGACATAAAATGGCACTCACTTTTGTTTTAATTTCACCTTCTTTAATTATGAATAAAATTCAGTATTCTCACAAATTTAAAGGTTATTTGTATTTTTTGTTGTTACTAGTGGGACACTTGTTTATAAACTTGTGTATTCCTAAGGGTAGGTAATTTTTATTATTTGTTATTAGGAATCTTCATATATATTGCAAACATTTTTCCTATTTTATTGCCTTACCTAGATTTTTAGATCTCACTCTCGGATTTAAAAATAGGTAAGATATTAGCAGTTCAGTTCTTTCACATTTCAAGTTTTCTCCTAAATTCGGGTAATAGTGACTGACAGTTATTTCAGATGTTCTTTTTACCATGTTCCAGTGCTATCCTTTTACTCTAAAATCATATGTTTCAGTTTCCAGGTTTTATGATTTGACTTTGGTACTGCTTACCCAAAGGAACATGCCATTTACATTTATATTAAAAGCAAATAACATTATGCTAAAAACAAATATGACAAAGGTAGAGCTTATAGAATATACATGATCATTAGGAGAACTAACACTATGTGGGAAGAACAATTCTGGCCAGAGATCTGTATTTGAACAATGTTGTATTTTCTTTATATGTAAAAACAGCAGGCTGGCTGGACTGGATTAGATACAGCTAAAGTTTGTTGTACCCTTTAGTTCTGTAATTATTTCCTCTATAATTTTAAAATTTTATTTGAACTTTTTGAGAGATTGAAATATTTTAATTCAATTTTATGTAACATGAAATTTACCAGTATAACCATTTTAAGTATACACTTCAGTAGTGTTAACAGTATTCACATTGTTGTACAACCATCTCCAGAACTATTTCATCTTGGGAAACTGAAACTCTATACCCATTAAACAACAATTCCCTATTCCACCCTCTCCCCAGGCTTTGACCTCCACCCTCTCCTTTGATCTCAATGAATGTGACTACTCTTGGTATGTAGTTAAAGTGGAATCATATAGCATTAGTTTTTTGATGATTAGCTTATTTCACTTAGCATAATGTACTCAAGGTTCATCCATGTTACAGCATGTGCCAGAATTTCCTTCCCCTTTTACGGATGTATAATATTCCATTGTGTGTAAATACCACATTTTGTTTCTCCATTTATCTGTTAAAGAACACGTGTTATTTCTTTGTGTGTGTGTTTGTGTGTGTGATTAGTGCTGCTATGAACATGTTGTACAAATATCTCTCTTAGACCGAGGAATAAATATTAAAGCATCTTACCATAGCCTTCCTTTCCATATGCAAATGAAGGGGGTATTATCACTTTTCGCTTCTCTCCAGGGCACATATCCATCATAGCAATGTCTAGGCCTTTTATGACTTGCCCAACACCAAGAACAAACCATTTGGGGTGGCCTTCATATTGTGTCCGGCTATAATAAAAAGCAACATTTAGGTAAGCTGATTTCAAGAAAAATAAAATCAAACTAAAATGAAATCAAACCCAGCATCCTGGCTGGGTGGTTCAGTGCGCTATAGCATTGTTCCTCTGTACACCAAAGAGGTTGCGAGTTCAATACTGTTTGGGGCGATAAAGGAGGCAACCGATCCACGATTCTCTCCCACATTGATGTTTCTCTCTCTCTCTTCCTCGTGATCTAAAAATTAATAAATATATATCCTTGGATGAAGATTAAAAAAATACAGCTGGGCATTTAGTTATATTAAAATTGGATCCTCTTTAACCATCTCTTTCCCCGTACTATCACTCACTCTGAATCCCCTGGTGGAGTGTTTGGCTCAAACTTACCTCATAATAGCCCGAATGAGGTATGATTTGTCATCTCATTTTCTTTTTGTTGTTTTTATAAAAACTACTCAACAGTTAACGTTTTTGTTTTTTTAAAAATATATATTTTATTGAGTTTTTACAGAGAGGATGAGAGAGGGATAGAAAGCTAGAAACATCGATGAGAGAGAATCATGGATCAGCTGCCTCTTGCACACCCCCTACTGGGGATGTGCCTGCAACCAAGGTATCATACATGCCCTTGACCAGAATCGAACCCGGGACCTTTCAGTCCGCAGACCTTCGCTCTATCCACTGAGCCAAACCGGTTTCGGCAACAGTTAACGTTTTTAATGGGTCTTCTGCCCTTACCTAGCTGCATGACTTGTCTAAATAATACATTTACCATGTTTGGATTTGTCCTAAAAAATGATGGTGTTGTTTTAGCCACATAAATATTTTAAAGCTATGTAAAATTTGTACCCTTTCTTCTTAAGTTTCTATAGTTTCTGTAGTTTCCTCTAAATAGGAAGAACTAAATTTTCCCAGCTCCTATTTTTATAGGTAATAGTACAGATGAAGAAAAGACATTCTCCCTCTGAGTAGTAAGCCTTTAATTAAATCAGAGGAGGCAGTCATGGGATGAGGAGTCAGGCGGAGGACAGAGAGCCCAGAAGTCATCAGGGAAAGTTGCTGTGTGTTTTCTCAACAGTTGGAAAGTGGCCCCATCGCCTGTAAATATGGTGCTTCTGAAGGCCAGACAGAATCCCTTAAACTACCCTATCTGACCCTCTGTCAAGAAACTCCCGCTGGCAAAGGAAAAGTGTGAACATCCTTACAAACAGTGCCTTGACTTACTTCTCTAAGTCCCAAGGGTAGTGGGAATGGTCAGCTGTGTGTGGGGACATCGTGCATTTATTTTTAATTGCTTCAAAGAGAGGAAAGGAGAGGGAAAGAGATAGAAACATCAATGATGAGAGAGAATCATTGATCAGCTGCCTCCTACATGCCCCCTACTGAAGATGGAGCCTGCAACCGCATCCTGGGCTTTTGCCCTGCGGGAACTGAATCTTGACCTCCAACTTCATAGGTGGCGGCTCAACTACTGAGTCACACCAGCAGGGCCATAGTGTCTTTTTTGATAATTTCTTGGTCCAAGATTTTTAATAACTTAGAAAAGTAATATTCAGCTTAATTGAGAACGACTGCATCTAGTCTGATTTCCCCCTTAGGAATGAAAATCTCAACTCTTACTGTTAAAAAACAAGAACCAACCAACCCACCCACCAACCAATTAAGCTTCTGCATCCTGGAGGGAGGCTAGATTCCACACCTCCACTGGGCGTGACGGCTGCTCGCTGCATGTCCTACCTGCAGTAGAATTTCGTGCCATCTTTGGCCAGGTAGCCGTCATAATGGGCATTTAGCAGGTCCCCCTTCTTGCTGGTCTTAGAACAGTTTTCTGGACGATGCACAACTTCTATTTTCACCTCCTCCGTGAGCCCCTCTTCCTTTTGTCCCTGGGCAGCGAAAATGCCCCACGCGCAGAAGAAAACGGTTAATCTGAGCAAGAGATGCATGGTTCCTGGCGCTGGTCCCCTCCCGCGTGTCACTCGCGTCCCGTGGCCCACGGGCAGCTGAGTTCCGACGCGTGGCAGCATTATCCTACGTCACAAAGGGGGGCGGGGCGGCGCGGGGCCCCGCCCCTTCACCCCGCACCCCGCACCCCCTGCTCGAACGTGGAATTGTGCCAGTCGGAGGCGGGCTGCCGCGCTCCGGTACCCAGCGCCTGGCTGGCTGTCATCAGTCTCCAAGGCAACGCTGATCGCTTGCACCGCTTCTCGCCGGCTCCGCTGGTTTGGCGGCCGGTTTCCTCGGGGTTCGGGTTCGGGGTTCGTGTGGCAAAGCTAGCGTTTCCTAAAATGAAACCCGTAAAGGACGAAAGAAACAGCCCTGGGTGGGGTGTAGTCAGAGGATATGATTGTCATTTCTGGGCATAAAAGGCTTTTCTGCAGACCCCTAGAGAGCTAGCGGGCATGTGTGTGTGGGGTGTGTGTGTGTGTGGGGTGGGGGGTGGGGGGACGGAGGTGTATTCCGGGGTGTCCTGGAAGGCTCAGGCTAAGCCGCACTCACCCCAAAGGCCTCTGGGTCTGGAGCAAACAGAAGCGCCCTGCTCCCTGCCCAGGGCGGACCCCAGCATCCTTCACTGCGGAGTTTGCAGTTACTTCCTCCCACCCCTTGGGCCGCCCCTGATTTCAGGGCTTAGAGAGGTGCACAGTTTCACCTTTTCCTACCAGCTCTGCCAGATGGGGAACTATTCACATCACACGAGGAGAAAATGAGGTACAGAGGTCCCCTCTTTTCCTCAGACCCGTTATCCTGCGGGGGATGTGTTCCAAGCCCCGGTGCATGTCTGAAAGCAGGCTAGAATTGAACCCTACATATATATTTCCATATAATCCAAACCTATGATAAAGCTTAATTAATAAATTGAGCACAGTAAGAGATTAATAATTTATAATAAAACAACAACAGACTGTAATAGAAGTTATGTGAATGTGATCTCTCTGGAAATATCTTGTTGTCCTGAATCACAGCCTGGATGTGCTGGACAGAGAGGGCTCATGGTTTGGCAGGAGGGAGGTGGTCAGCAGATTTCATCAGGCTGCTCGGAACAGGCCCACAGCTGAAAACGTATGAGTTGTTCATTTCTGGGATTTTCCATCTAATATTTTCAGACCGTGGTTGGCCTCTGGTAGCTGAAAACCACAGGAAGTGGAAATCCAACTCCTGAAAGGGGAGGACTTCCTGTCCCTTCAGTGCTGGCCGCTTTGTTCCCACCTCACAGCCCATGTGCAGGAGGGATTCGGTGAAGCCGCACCCAAAGCCAGCCTCACCCCTCAGCATTTCAGAATGAGGAATGTTCAAACACACAGAAAAAGCTGAATTTTACTATCACCATGGCCATCCTACTACCCATCTCTGTATCCATTCATCAATCCCTCTTATTTTCAAATGAATATCCGAAGGCCTTTGACCAGAAAGGCTAAGGCCTAGATCAGGTCCTGGACGGGGCGATGTTTTTGAATCCACGTCGGTGATGCTGAGAAAAGCCACAACCCTGAGCACCTTACATCCGCTTTGCGGAAACCCTGCAAAATCCCATCCACCTGGAAATGATTGCCCATTCTGTAAGATGATGATCCTTTCCAAACAGGATTTTTAAAAATCCTAAAAGCTAGGGGAAAGCTTCCCCATTTTTAGTAAAACAAACTCCAAACTGATTCCCCGTTTTCTCTTCTATTTACATGAAGATGTGGCTGTCTAAGGTTAATTGTTTGCTGATGACGCTCCTTGATGAGTTGTTTGCTGATGACTCTTCTCTGGAACCCATGGCCACTCCTGGCCGCGGATTCTCAGCGGCCCCCCGCCTCCCGGGACATAGCGGGTTGGACCCTCTGAAGGTGAGGACACGATGAAACATAAATAGGAAATCTTTTATTTCCTTGGGACACCCCCGCTCCCCCCAAACAACAACAACAACAACAACAAAAACAACCACCGGAAGGACCGGAGGCTCAGTTATTAAAGCCTGAGGGCGGCCCGGGGAGCCAGCCGAAGGCCGAGAGGGACGGAGCGGAGCCGGCGGCGGCGGCCGGAGCCCGGGGCGCGGCGGGCCGAGCGGGCGCGCCGCCGGGGAGGGGTTTCCCGGGCCGCCCGGCCCCTTTCAACCAGGAAGTGAAAGCGACGCCGGGGTCAATGCCAGCAGCGGGGAGCCTGGGGGCCGGGGAGGCGGGCGGCGAGGAGGCCGTGCCCGGCGCGGAGGGCGCAGCACGCGAGCGGGAGGCCGGCCCGCGGGTCCGATCGCCGCCGCCGCCGCCACGAGGCAGGCCGCCCGGGGATGTGTGAGCCCGCGGCCCGCGGGGCCCGAGCTGCGCGCGGCGGCCGGCGCCCCGGCCTCTGAGGCCGCCACCGGCGCGCGGGCGGGCGGGCGGAGGGGCCGGGGCCGGAGCGGCGGTCCGGCTGCGCGCCTTCCCCATCGCCGCGGCCGGCGGGCCAGGAGGATGCGCGGCGCCGGGCCCTGAAGCATGGAGGGCGTCCTGTACAAGTGGACCAACTATCTCACAGGTCTGCGCCCGGGCGCCCGGGGCGGCGGGCGGGCGCGGGCTGGGCCGAGCCGGCGGCGGGGCAGGCAGGCCGGGGGCTCCGGCGCCGGGTGCCCGCCCGCCAGCCCGCCCGCGGGGACCCTCCGCGCACGGACCCTTCAGATTCTCGGGCTTCAACCCTGTCTGTGTCCCCGTGAGAGCCCCGCCGGCCTCTGCCAGGAGACGGCTCCAGAAGGCGCACCTTCCGGACGGTGGGAGGTGCACCTGATGGACCCCCACCTCCTGGCCGGTGCAGGGATCCTGGCTCCCCAGGTGCTGCTGCAATCTCTGTCCTCATCCACACGCAGCTCAGCATATTGTTACTAGAGCGGTCAGGGTATAAGACCAGAATGCGCCCCTTAAGATCAAGATTTAATTTTAAGAAATGTTTTCTATGCATCACCCCTCCCCCTCCCTCCATTTCCAAAGCAACACGGTTTATTTGAATAGCTGCTCTCTTGTTGAAGTTTGGACATAGAAGCATTATTTGGGAAGCTGTCCCTGGATAATGTACCCTTAGAGGTTGGTTGTCAACGAGATAGCCTTGTTTTCGATGTCAGGTAAGTGTGAGAAACCGTGGAAGATACAGAAGTGCAACGTACAGAAGTGGAGGAGGCAAGTCAGTTTCACGCATGAAGTGGGTTGCAAGGAAGAACTCCAAAGAGTGAGGTGTTTGTTTTTGTTTTTGTTTTTTTTTGTCGAAAGGAGTCCGCAGGGAGGGCCCTTTGCCATGACATCAACAACCTGGCATATTAAGAGTCTGAATTCTAGTCCCATCTCTGCCGTCATCCAAGAGTAAGAATAGTTACTTATTCTCTCAAGAGCTCAATCCAAGGCCAGGCCGATCAAATAGTTTATCCTGAAGATGCCTTCCAGTCCAGAATTCTAGGATCTCACCAAATCAGAGGAAGGGGAATGGGTTTAAAATAAGATTAAGTAGCAAACATTTTTTGGTCCATTGTGACAGGCAAATCTTGACTTGTTGCCCCCTTATTCACTCTGCCAAAAGTATTAAGCCGTTAGTTATTGTGTGGTACACTTGTGCCCACCTGACTTTGCTCACAATCTGCACATAAACATTTTGAGACATAAGCACTGAGCTACAGTTGTCCATCTTTTATTTTATTGATTACAATGGTACTGCCAGATTTATAGCAGCAAATGCTTTATCATTTATGATGGATGTTTTGTTCACACTAAAATGTCAGTTTGTTTCTATAAACATTTTAATAGGAAACATTTAAAAAGGAAATATTAAGCATTTTCATTCTGTTTAATTGAGATATTGTATTAACTTTAAGACAGTAGCTTCTGTGGTTAGCTATGCAAATGGTCATCTCATTGCAGATGTTTATAAGCACAGTGTCTTGGGAAGTCTTTTGGAGAAACTGCTTAATGCATAGCACAGAGCAATGGGCGATTCCTGAGATGAGTCATAATTTATTCTTGTGTCAAAATGTGGTCTTCTATAGCACTGAGCACCAGCTGGTTAAGGTTTTAACCACTTGTGCTTAAGGTTTCAGTCATTGCTGAGCATTTAAATTAACTGCTATATGTACTTGTAGAAGCTCGATAAAATTACATCTTTTGGAAGAATTCCCTTTTTAAAATTTAAATTGGGCTCGATGAAATGCTGATTATTAATTTTAGTTCATCGTAGGTCAGAAGGATGAATAATTGCTCATACTAAGGGATCTTTTAAAGAACCTTCCAGTTCAGTGACAGCATTCTTTGAGAACCCTTTGTAGAGAAAAAGGATTTCAGTAACATTTGGTAGTTTGAGATAAAAAGAATGTGTGTGTGTTTTAAAAAAAAATAATTTAAAAGAGAGAATACCTATGAGTCTTTTTCACAGATGTAGCTCTCTACTTCATAAATTAGAGATGTTTTATTAAGTATTTCTTCAAAAAGGTGTGAAGAGAAAGAGGAATCTTTGATTAATTAACCCTGCCTACTTTTGAAGTTGTTATTAATTTTAAGTGAATCCTTTTTCTCAGTATTTGTTTTAAAGACATTGAGTCACAATATTGCAAGCTTACAGAATCACACAGGGCCTGGGGTGGAGTGTATTTTCACACTGCTTATACTTTGTTTGCCAAGGTGAATTAGTGTCTGGAAAGATAATGTTTTTATTATTTCTGTGTATGTTTAATACAACATACTCATGAATATACTCCTTACCTATACTCATGGATAACATGCACTATCTCACTTTTCTGGTACTTAATCATTCATTCAATCAGTCACTTGAGCAATAAATATAGTTTTTTGTTACCCTGTTTCCCCCAAAATAAGACAGTGTCTTATATTAATTTTTGCTCCCAAAGATGCACTAGATCTTATTTTCAGGGGATACCTTATTTTTCCACGCCCTAGGACTTATTTTTGGAGGGTGTCTTATTTTCGAGGAAACACGGTAGTACCTGTCTGTACCAGGCACCATTCTAGGGAGATGCTGGGAATGCAGTGATGAATAAGATAAAGTTCATGTACCAAAAGAACTTACTTTCTAATTTGCTTGGCCTCATTAGGGAATATAGTGTTTCATAAAAATAATTATCCAAGCATTAAAACTTTTTTGGGGGCTATCCCTCGCTCTGAACTGTATTATGACATTCCCTGCTGTGAAATGTAACCTTTTTATGATGACTCACCATTGTCATTTCAAAAGTGTTACAGGTAAAAGTTTTTGGCTGGGTATATCCTGGGTCTGTATAGGATGAAGAACAACTTCCCCCATCTGTCATTATCTTAGTACTATTTGACCCTGGAAAAATGGAATTGAGTAATTATATAGCAGGCTATGTCCAAACTGAGCAGGCTGAAGTGTCATTTAATAGTCACAGAAAGAACAGGGACAGTCACATTGCCTCCTACATGGTCACCATGCTACTAATCAGTGAACTGTTAAAAATTAGTAGCATGCTTAATAAGATTTCAGGGAACACTGAGTTTGGCTTGTAAGAGTGGGAGCTGAGCTTTGAGGAAGGTCATTATTCTCATTCCCAACTTCTTGTTAGTGATAGCTGTGTGCTCTAGTCTCTGAATAAATACTAATTAAACGAATGGTTGTAGTTTCTAGCATTTCTGCCAGACCTGTGCAGCAGCAGAGCAAGGAGAGAGGGGTGGTTGGGAATCCATGCTCACCACAGGGTATGCAGCTTCTGTGTAAGAGACAGAGTCATCCAGCAGCACTTACTATATGCAAGGGAGCTTGCTTAGGAAACATAAGAGAGGGGAAGGTCACATTGTAGAATTAGAAAACTAGGTGACAGCTAAGGGGTCTTCTTATTCAGTCCACTCTCGAGACTTGGTGTTTTTGATATTTAATGAAATGAAGGAGATTTGTAGTCCAGGTTATCCAACTAAAGAATTGTATTAGAGCTTGGTCTAGAATCCAGGTCTTCTGTTTCCCCCGTTCTTCCCCCCATTATATCATAACTAAACTCTGTTCCCTTTGGAAGAAGGGGACATTTATATCGCACCCAGGGAAAGGCTGTATTTGAGGATGGGCCTATGGGTTGTTAATGAGAAAGTAGTGAGCCAGAATAAAGGTATCACCCCCCATATTGATGCTGATCGAGACATTTCCTCAGAAATCTCTCCCAACAAAGTAGAGATTGATGCCAGAACATTTTGGGCAGGGCTTGTCATTTAAAAAATTCATTATCAGAATGGTATTTTAGAGCCAATAAGTAACATGGATGGTAAGTTTTGAAACCAGTTTTCTATGTGATGAAAGTAAATTTTTATTAACTTTTTATTATTTATGATTTTGTAGGTTGGCAGCCTCGTTGGTTTGTTTTAGATAATGGAATATTGTCCTACTATGATTCACAAGATGATGTTTGCAAAGGCAGCAAAGGAAGTATAAAGATGGCAGTTTGTGAAATTAAAGGTAAGTGAATATATGGAATTAGAGGAAATTAGGTAAAGGAAAGTAAAGGGATCTGCAGCATACTCCAAAAATGGGAAAAAAGCATTTCTAACTAAGTAGGGGTCTTCTAATACCACTTATTTCCTTAGCATTCAGGAGTGGCACTTAGCATTGTTAAGCATAGTTTTGATGTTTCTGTCTATGAACATACTTTGAATTGCATTTTAAAGTACTAGTGCACATCTTCCAATATGGACTTGAAACATAATTTCTTGGGGATGCCACTTATGTGTCCACGCTGAGTCTACAAGTGTTCTCTTCATTCTCGTAAAAAGGCATTGTGAAGATTGAAAGCTGAATTCTAAAGCTCTGTAGGTTTCTGATAAAGTGTTAAGTCAGGGTCATAAAATGGTTCTAGGCCTAATCGAAGATAAGCTCTTCTGAATAATAGAGATGTTTTTCTTTTCTTTCTTTTTTGGTGATCTTTAGAGTTTTAAGGAATACTGCTCAGGAATATTGTAGGAAGCCCCTCTATTGGAATTTGATGTTTTTCCTATGGTTAGGCTTGTTATGGGGTTATGGGTTTTAGGAGGAAAGTCACAGAGGTACAGTGCCATTCTCATCATATCAAGAGTGGGTCCTATCAACATGACATGTCACTCTAAATGTTAACCCTGACCACCTGGCAGAGGCAGAGTTTGTCAGATCTCTCAACTGTCAAGTTACCCTCCCCCCTTCCATATTGTGTTCTTCTGAAATGGAGGAAATAAAGCAATAAATGCTATAATTTTCATGAAGAAACATTTTATGGACCATTGATTCTTTTGTATGTGTGTTTGGGATGTGTAGGATGGAGGTAGGTAGGTAGGAGAGATCAAGCAGAATGATAGTGAGAAGTATTGAATTCTTTAAGAGAATTGAAGGAAAAATGAGCTCTAGAAGAGTGAATGTTAAACTCCTTCAGGGAATCATGGCTATAAAAGATATAGATTCACCAGTCTGGTGTATTGTTACTTGCACAACCCCTGAAATATGTGGGATTAATTTTGCTTTTTTATTTTATTTTTATAAATTACACAAGAAAAGAACATTCAAAGAATAAGTTTTTATCTTTTTAAAGTGTGAGGTTTTATCTCATCTCATTCCCCAGACTAATTTCCAAATGAGATTTGATGAGAATTAGAAATCAAACTACCTTCAAAGTTTAAAAATTTGCCAACTTTGAGGATTTTAAAAGACTATTAGTGGCAGAATTCTAAGGCAATTCCAAATGTTTTTTAGCCATGGCATCATTTTTGTTCCATTGTTTTCTCTTTAAAGTAATCATGTTGTTGAAGAATAATATACTCATAGAAAAGGGCATAAATCTTAAATACTCAGTTTGAAGAATGTTTACAAAGTGTCCATGCTTGTGTAGCCACCACCCAGATCAAGAATTAGAATATTACCCTCATGCCAAATGCTGGGAAATTACTAAATCCCCTCAGCTCCTAATTCCTCTAAAAGGTAACTATTAATCTGACTTTATCACCGCGAATAGGTTTTTAGGACATTTATAAATCAGTATTTTCTTCTGTGTCTGGCTTCTTTCTTTTTCAAACATTTTTATTGATTTTTTTTTTTTTTTTTTGAGAGAGAAGAAGGGAAAGGGAGAGAAACATTGATGAGAAAGAACATTGATTGACTATCTCCTATAGGTTTCTTCAATACATAATGATGTTGAGTATTTTTTTCAGATATAATTAGCCATTTGAATATTCTTGTTTGAAGTCCCTTTTCAGTTCTTTGGCCCAATTTCTAAACTGGACTATTTTTCATGTTGATCTGTAAGAGTTCTTTATATAATCTGATGATTTTTTTTTTATATTGCAAAGGTATTCTCTCACTCTGTAGTTTGCATGTTTATTCTGTTAATATCTTTTGATGAACACATGTTAATTTTAATAAAGTCCGGTTTATTAGTTTTGTTATTAGAAATTTTTATGTCCCACTAAAGAAATCCTCTGTTACCTTCTTGAAGCTTTATTGTTTTACTATTTATATATAGGTTTATATTAGGTCTGTGACTGGCTTAAAATTTATTTTTATATATGGTCTCAGGTAGGGGTCAAGATTCATTGTTTTTTATCCTCCGATGGCTGAGCACACTTATTGAAAAGAGTAACCTTTCACCCACTGCACTGCAGAGACATCTTTGTCACAAAGTGAGTGACCATGTCTGTGGGGATAGGTCTTTTTCTAGACTACCTTTTGTCTTACTTATAATTGGTTCTTTACATTTCATTTTACATCTTAGAATCTGTTTGTAAATTTCCACAAATATTTGTTGGAATTTTGATTGGAATTGCATTGAATCTATATATCAATTTGGGGAGGATTATATTCTTGACAATATTGAATCTTCTGATCCATTAGTGTGGTATATTTCTATATTTAATTAGGGTTTTAATTTCTCTCAATGTTTTGCGGTGTTACATATAGAGGTCTCGTCCATGTTTCCTAGAATTTGGTGTATTAGAAGCATTATTCTTAACTTTGTTGCTTTCTCAGGTGACTGCTTGACTGATACATCTGGTATATTTAAAAATGAGTCATCTTTACTTTAGTTCCATTTTTGTGGAAACATCATTGGAAATTAAAACATTATTTTCTTTTAAGGTAGCTATTGATTTTTTTTTTTCTTCCTAGTACTAGCAAGTAGCAGAAAAGAATTATCCTTGGAGCTTTGGGATTTCAATAATTTTACCCTAGACTAGAAATCTTTTGTACCCATGATTGATCATTTGTCCATTCATGAATATCATTACTTGGTGATATAACACAATGCTCCTTTTAGACCTGTCTCCTGATATTCTCAGCACATACTATATTTAGTTCCTCATCTAGAACTTTTCTCATGCAGTTTTTCTGTTTCAATTTTAAGCCAATCCTGCTGTCATCAAATCCCTCTTCTTAAAGCCTTTTTTATTTTCTGTCTCTTCTTATCTTTCTCTCATTATAATTACACATGAAGTCTCTGTATCAAGGAGTTCAACATTTAGATGTCTTGATTATTTTTAGTGTGTCAGTTTGGTTCCTTGGTTAAATTATCACCTCTTTTAAAGCAAAGACTTTTTTCCTCTTGCTCTATCTTCTCTATCATCACTGCTCTGAGCTGAGTAAATACCGTGTTTCCCCAAAAATAAGACCTACTTACAGGTTTCCTTCTGAGTGAAATATAAGGCATCCCGCGAAAATAAGGGTCCCCCTTTCCCCCCCTACGCTAAACATGAGAGATTTGGTCCACTGATTCTGAAAGAAATGGAGTCACGAGAAATTCACCAGGAAATTCAGGAATTGGATTGTTATGATGATGTTCCAGAAGATGATGACATGATTGGCATTGAATAAATGAGTAAATTCTTGATACTGTAGGATTCACAGTTTGTCTGGTTTGTGTTGACAACTACCGTACTACTGTACCGTATACAGGTAATAAATTTCCTTTATTTTCATTTAACAATAAATGCGTCCTGTATTCTTCTTCATGGAAAAATAAGACATCCCCTGAAAATAAGACCTAGCGCATCTTTGGGAGCAAAAATTAATATAAGACACTGTCTTACTTTCGGGGAAACAGGGTACTTGTGATTAATGGCAATCTAAGACAAATTTAGTCTTATAAGAGTTAGGATTGACTCAGCATAATTCTTGATGAGCTCTCTTTTGTCAGAGCATCAAGGTGGGCTGTGTAGGAGAAGAGAAGGAGGATGGAGGGGAAAAGATCTTCAAAATACTCTTGCCTTCCAAGTGATTATGATGTGCCCATTACTTGAGGACAACATGGCCATAGTTACCATTTGTTGTGCTTCATCTATATGCCGGGCACTACCTAGGCTTGGGGGATACCAAAACACAGACTGTGCTTTCAAAGAACTCAGTAAAAACTGAGTGATAAGTTAATAATGGATGTGTATTTAGGGTAGTACAGTTGGCCCTAAGGGAGGGAGTTCTTTGTTCTCATTTCTCAGTACATATTGTATTTAGTAGTTAATATATGTGTTTTCTCTTTTGCCTGGCACCACTGCCAGCTGGGGTAGATGTGAGAATGGCAGTTTGGGGGGTAGCCCCTTAGGGAGCAGCACTGCCTGCATCTTAAGTCATAGTTTGTGGTTTTAAGTGTCTGAAACATCTAATACTGTATAAGAGTGATGCTTTGATTCTCCCCAACTTACTTAATTCCATGACTGTATTTCTCCTTTGTTCATCATCATAGTCCATTCAGCAGACAACACAAGAATGGAATTAATCATTCCAGGAGAGCAGCATTTCTACATGAAGGCGGTCAATGCAGCTGAAAGACAAAGGTGGCTGGTTGCTCTGGGGAGCTCCAAAGCCTGTTTGACTGACACAAGGACTAAAAAAGAAAAAGGTAACTTCCTTTGCAGTAAGAATATTTTCTTAAACACAAATATAAATTATCATTTCACTCATAGTAATTTATTCCAAAGACATAATCAGAAATGTAGAAGATTTATGTGCATAGATGTTCATCAAAAAAATATTGTAGCCCTAGCTGGTTTGGCTCAGTGGGTAGAATGTCAGCCTGCGGACTGAAGGGTTCTGGTTCAATTCTGGTCAAGGGCACATGCCTGGGTTGGGGACTCGCAGTAGGGGGCATGTGGGAAGCAGCAGATCAATGATTCTCTCTCATCATTGATGTTTCTATCTCTTTCTCTCCCTCTCATTTCCTCTGTAAAATAAAAAAAAACAAAAAGTTGTAAACAATGCAAAGGTTTGAATTCAGGGGAATGGTTCAGTAAACTGTATAGTGCTTACATAGGCTGATATATAGGCAGTAAAATGTTTACAAGGAATTTTAAGGATGTGAGGCAATGCCTAAGGTTAAATAATAATTGAAAAAAACAGGATTCAACATTATATATCCATTCATTGGACAGGTCAGCAAAGATAGGTAAGAACTGATAAAATTGTTACCTTTAGAAAGGGAATTTGTGGGAAGAAGATTCACTTTTCACTGTATACCTTTTGACTTCATTATGTACATATATTATCAACTTAAAAGGACTAAATAAAAATCAAAAGCAAGGCAAATAATTTATGGTATTCAATTATATGCAGATATAATGTGAAAATAACAATAGTATTTATATCTTGGTAGCGAGATTATAGTTGTTCAGTTTTTCTTTTCTATATTTTTGATTTTCCAAAATTCTTCATTGACCTTGTATTACTTTTATAATTAAAAACAATAAAAGTTATCTAAACTAGTGAAAGCACTAAATTATGGATATATGAAAAGAACATCATGGAAAGAGTAGGATAAGAAGGAATGAAAGGCGGGAACAACCCAAACATTCATAGACAGATGAGTGGATAAATATAGTATGGCATATACACACAATGGAACATTGTTGTGCCTTAAAAAGGAAGGCAATTTTGACATTCACTATGACATGGATGAATCTTTAAAATATTATTATGCTAAGTAAAATAAACTAGTCACAAAAGGACAGATATTGTATGACTGTACTTAATATGGAGTATCTAGAGTAGTCAAATTCATAGAAACAAAGTAGAATGGTGTTTTCTAGGGGACAGGGGAGGGGAGAATGGGGAGTTAGTGTTTAATGTGTACAGAGTTTTGGCTGGAGAAGATGAAAAAGTTTTGGAGGCGGATGGGAGTAGTGGTTATATGGTAGCATGAATGTAATTAATGCCAGCACACTGTATATTTAAAAATGATTAAAATAGTAACATATTTTACTACAATTAAAAAGAAGCAATGGGCTTAAATTTGAGTAGGAGGTTAGGGTAAGTGGGCAGCTAGAGCTCTTTGGTGTGCTCTAGGTAGAGTAGCTCTGTGGCTAGTACCACAAAGCAGTGTCGCAGACTCAGGGATGCAGAAGCACCAGGATCTGCTATGTGTATTTTTCTCCTTCCTCTGCTGCTTATTCCTCTAGTTTAGAAGGTATTGGTAAGCGAGTGGTGGAGATTATGGCCAGAGGTTTAGTCTGTCCAGATATATTAAACAAAAGAAAGTGAGCTGTTAATTTAAAAATTCTGAAAATAAATATAACATGAAAATAAACCAATGAAAAGACCAAAAAAATAAAAATAAATGAATGTTTATGTAAAATAGTTTTAACTACATAAAAACTAAAAATATTTTTATGCCAAAATATACAATAAAACAAAACTGGCAGATCTTGAAATGTATTTTAGAGTAGAAAGGACAGGTGAAGATGGCTACATTTAGTGTATAAGAAATTTTACAAATGACCAGTTTACATATTATTAATAGAAAACCCAAATATCAGAACTGGAAAAATGAGTTAAGGATAAGAAAAGCCAATTCGCAAAAGAAAAATGTAAGCATTTTTCAAATGAAAGATGAGTGGTGGAATGGAAATACCTCGTATAAGACATTCAGCGGTCATCACCCTGTCTCTGGGAATTAATCTACCCAAACTTCATGTTAGACATAGACTGCCAATTTTTTCCCATTAATCTGAGGAGAATGTGCTTCCTTACAGTGTTTGTATCCTATTTCCAAGGTCTCACACTACAGATATTTGTATTTATTGTCTTAACTTTTTAAAAAATCCTGCTTAGGAGAAAGATAGGTGCCATGAGAGATGAAAAGAGAGATGGGTGCACAGAAAAGAGAGGGAGCATGAAAGAGAGGGGCATTCTGGGGAAAGGAGGTGGGGAAAGGCTGGAAGGATGCCTGCCTGGAGAAGGAAGGCACAAGCATGTTTTTGAGGGCACCATCCCCAGAAGGGCAGGAAAGGGCCATCAGACACAGGCCAGTGGCAGGAAAATGGCACTAGGCCTTAGAGATGAGTTGAGCTGGCCTTGAGTTCAGCTTGAAAGAATTCAGAGCCAAGGAACTGAAATTATAAGGGAAAGTTTATTTAGAAAGTTACTGAGGTAGTTGATGGGCACGTGGAGTTTAGAAAAAAGGGAGTTAGATAAGAGCTCTGAGAGGCAGAAGAGCCAGAGGGGAGGCTTGGGTGTGCTCCTGAAGAGGACATGTTGGGGGAAGCAGAGGGAGGGGAAAGGCACAGCACGCTTCGCAGAGAGAGCCACTGTCTTGCTTTTTAAATGATTCCATTTTATTGCTTTGCCCCCAAAATATGAAAATGATCTAATCGAATGTTTATGTATGTTCCCTTTTAGAAATAAGTGAAACCAGCGAATCTCTGAAAACCAAAATGTCTGAACTTCGTCTCTACTGTGACCTTTTAATGCAGCAAGTTCATACGATTCAAGAATTTGTTCACCATGACGAGAATCATTCATCTCCAAGCATAGAGGTATAACAGGGATAGTCTTTTATATCTGATCATGCTTTGCAATACTTTGCTGTCTTAAAAAAAAAAGGGAGTTTTTATTTTACCAAGGAAGAAATGGGAGAATGGTGTCTGCCACTAATTAATTCTCCAGTTTCCACTGCTCTGATCACCTTTGGAATTCAGATAGTTACAAAATTCCATTTAGGTTAGGTTTATCTAAGAAATTCTGTACACGATTTTTCAATATAAAAAACTTATTTTTTCTTAGAATCTAATTTCATACATTATTTGCCTGAGAGACAGGTAATTATTATTCATGTATGGCTTTAATTTTCTAATGTAGTGTATTTTAAATAGATTTGACCACAATCTAGTCAGATATCCTACTCAGTACTTGATTATAAGGTAGTGCATGATGGTACATAGTCGTGTATGTGAATCTATTCAACTCTGTGTGTAATTTTTCAGAACATGAACGAAGCCTCTTCCCTACTCAGTGCCACATGTAATACGTTCATCACAACGCTTGAGGAATGTGTGAAGATAGCAAACGCCAAGTTTAAACCTGAGATGTTTCAGCTGTCCCACCCGGATCCCTTAGTTTCTCCTGTGTCACCTTCTCCTGTTCAAATGGTTGGAACATAACTGTTTTTCTTCTAGCAATGTTGCATGTACTTCTGTTTTTGTTTTTATTTTTAAGGGTGGAATCTGACAGTGGGTGGGAAATAGTCAGCAGGTTAATTTTTAAAAAAATTGTATTCATATTCTCTATTGGAGCCTTTCATCTGGTGAGCTCAGCATGTGCCACGGTCATGATTCCCCCTTCCCCGGAGAGCCTGTACCATTTACCCCATTGTGCCAGGAAAAGACTACACTGTTCTCTGGGTGCGGTGACATGAAAAATGTTGGGGAAAACTGTTCTATTTGGAATGATGTTTACCCACAATGGGATAAGATAAGCAAATCTTTACAGAAGTTGGAAGGAATTTGAAACAACTTGTTGCTGGGAAACAGTATTTTGTAGTCTGCATTTGGATTTGAACCCTTTGAGTAGGCAAGTTTCTTAATCTCTCTGGACCTCAAGCATCTGTAAAATCAAGTGTCTTCTACATCAGAAGCTCTTTGCAAAAGACCTGACCTGTTTATATTAGGGGATGTTGTTGAGTGAGTAATCTTAAAGGAAGTGATTTCTGTTAAAGGAAGTATTAATGTAATGAGTTTTTCTTTTATGACCTCTGAGAAAGGGAAGTGGTGTGCAGTGTTTCTGAAATTTGTTTGGCAATTATACCCTTTTTATTTATTTTTGAATAACATCTCAGGACTGTAGCATTCAGTAGAACACAGTTTGACAGTTTTGCTTTTAGAATAATTATAGATATACTGTGAAATGTTAAATAACACATATAGCTGAACAAAACATGATCTTTTGAGATGGATATTTGGTGCTGTGTTCCTGAGACTGATGGACAAGAGGTCCGCTGTTGTTTGTTTTTTAAAGATGTACTTTACAGAGCCAAATACAGTAAATAAACCTCAAACCTGCCATGTTTGTATTGAACTTCTGAAGACAATGCCTTCTGTTTCAAATGCTCTGTAGTCCTGAGAGGTTATATTTGTAATGATGTATAAGAAACTCAAATAAATGTTCCTCCTCTAAACCAAAACCTTTTATCAATAGAAACATTAAACCAAAACCTTCTACCAACAAAACATAACAGGAAATCCAGTCAGAGGCTGCTTATTTTTCCTTGCCATGCCATTTTTTTGCACACATAGAGCACAGACTGTGGCTTATGGTAATTAGTTCTAGAGATAGGGAAAGTAAGGTCAGTCTTCATGAGAAAACCGCCTTTTTAAAAATAACATGAGTAAGTAAAAAAAACAAAACATTTGAGAATTCTAAAATTAACTTGATAGTTATAACCATTTTATGTAGCTACTTTCATTATGTCCCTCTTAAAACTAGTTTGCATTCAATTATATTTCAAATCTTCATGGAAGTTCAAACAGTGGTCTTTTGGATGGACAGATTGATGATAACTGTAGGGGGGATGTTGTTGGGTGAATAATCCTAAAGGAAGTGGTTTCTGTTAAAGGAGGTATTAATAATACAGTTGCATCTTAATGTCAACCAGATATCCCTGGACTCATGGATGGGTCATAACTGTTATTTCGGCTGGGATTTCTCAGAGCAACTGGTGGCTCATGTTACAAATGTAGAAGATGTTTATTTACATAACACAAATGTTAGACATAGATTGGACCTCTAAGACTCTTGAGCCTGTATATAAAATCAACCATTCTTAGCCTTTAATATACATTTTATTATTTTGTTACCTTGTTAAATATTGAAATAATCTGTTTTACTTGATTGCCTCTTTCTATTTTTTTTCATTAGTTGAATTTAGTATTTGTCATATTTATGAATGTTCTGCTTAATCCAATTTTATTTATATTTTTAATATGTGTTTTTAGAAACCTATTTGAGGCTTAGGGTTCCTCTTCTGAGTTCTTTAAAGACATGAATTATTAATGCCATCTTCCATGAAAACCATCCTTTAGACTCACTTAGAGCATCTGTGTGACAGCTACCTGAATAATGAATGATAAAGAGAAGACTTTATCCTAGACTTTGCTCCTAGACTCTATTCCTGTCCTTTAAAAAATACATAGAGAGATTAGAATATTTTCTGGTTTACCAAATATACTTCTTTATAAAAAACATTATGATTTTTTGAGGGGGACTAGATAAGTATACTCTTTTTTTATATTTGTGTATATACACACAAACACACATCTGATATAAAATTTGTTTTTTAGCATTGAGGAAAGAATCCAGCATGTTTTTGGTACCTATTGAGAAACATTCCCATTAATGGTTACTATGGAGAAAGCTTGAAATTGTGCTAATAATGTTACTTGAGTATGTAAAACATAATTGTTTTGGCCAGCCATTTTTAAAATCTGAATAAGGATAATATATTAGAGCTGCTTTATTTTACTTGACTAATGGATTATGCTTACTTTTTAAAAAAATTTCTAGATGAAGCGTTCTATCAGCCACCCTGGTCCTTGCAGTTCAGAAAGGTAAAGTAACTTTCTTTTGACTAAGTTCTCCCAAATTTATAGCTAATTAGGGAAATTCTTTGAACCTTTAACAAAAGTGGTGTGGAATCTAAATTCTGTATGGGCAGAGTCTGGTTCTGATTTGCTCAGCATTTCTATCTCTTAGTGTTTAGAATAGGGCCTGCCATAGTATGTAGTAAAGAAAAAAAAATGAGTGAATAAATTAACCAGCAAGGTAAGCACCTTGCCAGGTATTATACCTCTTAATAAGAGAGGAAGGGAGAGGGATAGAAAATTAGAAACACCGATGAGAGAGAGTCATTGATCAGCTGCCTCTTGCACACCCACTACTGGGGATTTGCCCACAACCAAGGTACATGCCTTTGACCAGAATTGAACCTGGGACCCTTTAATCCACAGACCAAGGCTCTATCCACTGAGCCAAAACAGTTAGGGCTTTAATACCTCTTTTAGATGTTTAAAATTATATTAAATGATATAATTTGATGGTTTATAAATCAATATTTTATATAACAAGGCTCCAAAGATTAGGTTCATTTTACTACTGCTTTTAGTGCATCATATATTCATACTGAGCAGTTTTTCTTTCTTTAAAAATATTTTTTTATTTATTAAAAAAATACTTTTATTTCAGAGAGGAAGGGAGAGAGAAAGATAGAAACATCAATGAGAGAGTATCATTAACTGGCTGCCTCCTGTATGCTCCCCACTGGGGATTGAGCCTACAACCCTAAGCATGTACCCTGATGGGGAATTGAACCGTGTTCTCCTGGTTCATAGGTCAATGCTCAACCACTGAGCCACGCTGGCTGGGCTGAGCTATTGTTTTATTAGATTCTAAAGATCTTACTGAAAAAGAGAGAAAAAGTAATTGATATTTTAAAGCACATGTGTCAAACACAAGGCCCGTGGGCCAAATCCGTCCCGCCAGGCCTTGCAATGTGGCCCGCACCGCGCTGTCATCACTGCACTCCGCTGCGTTTCCATCACAATGACAGTTTATGACTGTTCAGTAAACCATTCGGCCCGCGATTTAGGCTGGATTTTAGATTTTGGCTCCTTCTCTGATTGAGTTCGACACCCCTATTTTAAAGTATACACACAAATACATACACACACTTTGAGTAAGTATGAGGGCAGTGTTTATTAAAATACATTTCATTTTCAAAATGGGGCTATCATATATTAAAATGTGTGTACATTTTTGGGGGACACCCTGTATATTCATTCAACTCATTTAAAAATTTTATGTTCTAGATTAGGGGTGTCGAACTCAATCAGAGAAGGGGCCAAAATCTAAAATCCAGCCTAAATCGCGGGCCGAATGGTTTACTGAACAGTCATAAACTGTCATTGTGATGGAAACGCAGCGGAGTGCAGTGATGACAGCGCGGTGCGGGCCACATTGCAAGGCCTGGCGGGACGGATTTGGCCCGCGGGCCTTGTGTTTGACACATGTGTAATCTACAATAGATAGATCTTGCCAATATCTCACGCTACTAGAGTATTCTTTATCTTGTTAGGTGACATTGCTATAGTTGTCTTACTTGGTTCATTGGAAAGTGATGAAATTGTAATGACATTAGCATTTATTTATCTACATTGAGGATAAGTGCTGAGCCCCTATTATTGCTTTGTCACATTTTCCCCCTCTCTCTGATGATTAAGTAATCTTTGATTAAACTATCATGTGCTCAGAGGTGTTCAGTGATGTGCCCATGTATCCAGTCCTATCAGAATGAAGAGTTTCACCAACAGAATTTTCCAGAAAAGTAGCAGCTTGATCCCTTTGACAAAATTTTACATTTATGAGAGAAAGTTTTCTGAACTGTATTTTATCCTTTTTATCTTGGTAAATAAGATGTAAACTTTTCTTTTTTCTTTTTGATGATTCAAGGTTATCATTAAGAATAGTAATGTTGGGCTTTAATACATTGATAGCCAAAATGCTATTGAGTGGCAGTGATTTGTTTCTATGTTGGATTTTTTTATTGATTTTTCTATTTTTTTTTATTTTTTAGACTGTTTTTTAAGTATTTTTTAGCCTTCATTTGCCACCTTTGTCTTGCTGCCGACAGAGTTGACCTTTAATATGCTCCCACACTACCTGCCTATGCCTTTTCACCCTGCTGTTTTTAATCAGATATGGATTGACACTAGATCTGTGCACTTGTGAAATCCATAATTTTTAGTTTTTAAACATTTGTTAACCATCTGATATATTTCTGTCTAGCTGGATTTTCCTCTATTAAAAAAAAGTGATTTTCATTTTATCCCTTTTGCATTTAGTTTGGCTCAAAGGTCATATTCTCTGAGTTATCAGCTGGATTCTAAATGATTTGACTTTTGGCCTGACCTCTGAACAAGTAGAACTTACTAAAATAGAACTTTGGCATAAAGGTAGTTCCTCTTTCATTTAAAGAAATGTCATTTAAAACTCCAGATAAGTTGAGGGTGTTTGCATTTGTTTAAAACGTTACAGTTTAATGCTTTCTTTTTAATTTGCAGGAGTAGCCACTCTATAAAAGAACCAGCGTCTACACTTCACCGGCTCTCTCAGCGACGACGAAGAACCTACTCAGATACAGACTCTTGCATTGATCTCCCTCTCGAAGACCCAGATAGTAAGTTAGATGGGGTCTGTCTCTCCTTTGGTGTATTCAGCAAAATTATTGCGGGGCTTTGTAATCGCTGAAATGAAGAATACTGACAAGTGAACACCATACTTGGGCCCTTGGATTAACTCCTTAATTCAGAGCTAAGCAGACAATACATAATCAACAGAAGCTCATATATCCTCTTATAAACACCCCTGTTATTAACTGAGAAGTTCTGAGTATCTCTTTGTAAATACCTTATCTTAGACTTATATAGAATACAGAAATCTTTTACTCCTACTACATTTTAGTAATTACTTAATAATTTTTTACTCCCACTACATTTCCATTTAAAGAGCATTTTAGAAGAAAAAGAAAAAATTGTGGGTAGGATTTAGGGCAAGTTCAAAGTACTAAGAAAATAAGAAAAAAATACAGATAAGTTCTAAGTTCAAAGAAAAAGTCAGCATTGTTGTTTAAATAATTTGAAATGTCCAAGGAAAATAAATTTTTTTTCCTGGTGTTGGTGGTGAATTATAGTAGCATTTATTTTTGTACCAATTTTTTAAAATATATTTTATTGATTTTTTACAGAGAGGAAGAGAGGGGGATAGAGAGTCAGAAACATCGATGAGAGAGAATCATCGATTAGCTGCCTCCTGCATACCCACTACTGGGGATGTGCCTGCAACCAAGGCACATGCACTTGACTGGAATCGAACCTGGGACCTTTCAGCCCACAGGCCGACACTCTGAGCCAAACTGGTTTCGGCTATTACTATACCCTTTTATTCCTTACTATTTAAAGAGGAAGCATACTGTGATTGAATACTTTAGGAAAAGTTTTATGATTTATCTTAAATTTTAAGAATTTTTCTTTGCAGAGGAAAAACTTTAAAAGTGTGTCAGACGATCTATTTAGACAGTATTTTGAATGATTTCTACTGAACATAAATATGGTCTTATTACCATTAATAGGCTTTTGCTTTACAAAGTCTTTACTACTGCCTGTGAAGCCTGTGGGCCAAAAACTACACACAGTTCCCAGTTCCGTAACAGGTTGTGCTCCAAGAATTCATGTGTAAATCAGTTGTGTGGAACACAGGTCTTACTTCCCTTATGGAAATGACGGCAGTTTGATTCTTTTCTTTAAAAAAATAAATAAATAAATACACACACACACACACACACACACACACACACACACACACACAGATTTCAGAGAGGAAGGGAGAGGGAGAGAGAGAAAGAAACATCAATGATGAAAGAGAATCATTGATCGGCTGCCTCCTGCATATCCCCTACTGGGGATCGAGCCCACAATCCAAGCATATGCCCTTGACTGGAATTGAACTTAGGAGCCTTCAGTCTTCATGCTGACACTCTAGCCACTGAGTCAAACCAGCTAGAGCAATTTGATTCTTTGGTTGCCTAGAAGAGCCCAGCTAGTTCACAGGATGGATAAAATGGGACAAAACAAATGGTGTTATATTTACCTATATGTACCTATAAAAGTGCAACTGCCTTGGTACCGGACCATGCCAATGTGTTAAGCTTCGTTCACTTGCATTCTAGTGATAGTTTTGTGAGTTGCATTCCAAATGGAAATAGGAAAGTTTCAGTGTGCTTTACTCAGAAAGTCTAGTGATGAAAATAGCAAGACTCAAATTAGTCTAGTTCTGTTACCAATTGTGTCATCTTGCCTTAGCCATGTAACCGTTTTTGGAACTTGGTTTCTTTGCCTAAGAGCAAGGAGGTTACTAACAGTATTAAAACCATCAGGCTGAAAAAGCCATAGTTAATTAAGAAAGATTAATTCAATTAAACAAATATTTGTTGAGTGTCCATTATGTGCCAACCATGGTCTTAGCAATGAACAAAATAAATATCTCTACTTCACGTAGTTTCATAATTTACCTCATGAACTCTGAGATTTCTCCAATGACTGCCGATAGTAGAAAAGTTAGATTTTTCTTTATTAAACAAATAAGCAGAAAAATTAGCAGAAAGCTAAAGGAATTCATGTCTCTGAAAAGAAAACTTAAAATGTTCTCACAAAGGATATTGGAGTTAATTTTGATAGGATGTTTAACCTTTTAATCAATTTGTTAATAGGGCCTGTTCACTGTTCAAGAAATACACTTAATGGAGATTTGTCATCAACAATCATTCCTGAAGAGAGCAGACTTATGGCCAAAAAAAAATCTGAATTGGAAGATCCTCTTTCATCCTTTTCTTCCTGAGGAAACAGAAATGTCCAACTTCCTCTAAGTATTGCTATGCAAAAGCTGCTGTAATTAAACTATGTCATAGGGAGTAGTTTTTCCCTTAGGATTTCTCTGCACTTTATAGAATATTGTAAAACAAACAAAAAACCCACCTACCTTTGAAGTGTATTTTATCTTTACATAGTTTATTTGCAAGAGTATTTTCCTAATAACTTCACAGTATGAATGTGCATCTTTTTCTTTTTAAACAAATGATGGTGTAACATTTTGACATCCATAAGGACAAATGTAGATATTTTTCTAAAAAACTGTGAGTGACTGACAGCTTAGTCAGTGTATTGTAGCTTATAAATATGAAATCTTATAAACATAAGGTTTCAGTTGGACAGAAGTGTGACATATGTAACTTGTGCCATGGACCAAATGGTCATTTTACCCCCTCTGAAAACGAGTTACCATAGCAGCTTGATGGTGATCGTACTGTATTCCTTTAAGCAAAAGGAAACATTTAATATTCTTAAATATTTTTAGCCCAAATACCATGACATTGAGGATTTTTTTACAAACCAGACTGTGCTGTCCTTCATATGTGAAGTTGACACTACTGATTTGTCAATACCAAATGTTGGGTTAAAGTATTTAATTTTTATTTATTTATTTTTCTGTTGCATCAAAAATGACCTACCAAATTTAAGATGTGTATACATTGTTATTTACACTGTTCTGGGAAAGAGGCTAATGTTGTAGTGACCTTGCTCACTTCCACCAGAGAAATAAATGGCTTTCAATGGAAGAGATTTTAGTGCTTTTTTTCCTAAAATAGATGATAAGCTGCTGTTTTACGGTATTAATGTTTGCAGCTCTTTAGAATATCTAGAGACATTTTTTAATTTATGAATATTTATACAAAAAAGGAATTTTGTTAAGGCAACTGCTCTACAGCACTTGAGAATGGCATTATTTAATTAAATTCAAATAGCATTTTTTGGTAGTTCCTGTTCATATCTATTGTCAGTGTTTGCCTTGTAAACTGTTTTTCTAAATTCACTTTGGAGTGATGGTTTTGTCCAAGGTCTTGGCTGAGGAGCACTTTAAAACAAACTAGTTTGGTGTTTTTAAGTTAATCATGTGTTTAATAAATATGTGGTTTTTGCATTCAAACCCATCACATAATTACATTGTATTTTTTTTACATTTGTTGATATACTGCCTAATTTTTATCAAGTTTTAATAGTATTTGTTATTTCTTTGATTTTGTTTGTGTATTCAGACCTCATAATGAAAACACAAATGATGCGTAATTTTAATTTTGTTGCCTTTGAGCTTAGAATAGTGTGACCTATTTTACTTTAAAATTCTAAGTGTGTGTGAGATTTTTTTTAAGAGTCAGTGTTTGGTATTTACTTTATTAAAATAAATTTGTAATTATAGGCTTTCTCCCTTACATTTAAATGGACATATGCAATCTATAGTCATTAATATACATTTAGATAAACTGTGTGCTCTTAAAATATTTTATTTTAAATAGCACTCAGATCATTAGACTGAATTAAGTGGAATATTTTTCTAGTCATATGCTCTACTTCATATGTCTAATTTGAGAAAAACTTTAATAATGTAAGTTTTCATGTTGATCAGATAATCACTTTTTTTTTTTTTAAAGTAAGAACTTGCATAGTGACAAGACTATGAAGTTCAAGGTGCTACTGATAGGGTTTTTTTTGTTTTTTTTTTTGGTAGTTTTATTTTTTATAATGAAAACAATACAACAAGGTTTTGAACTCCTAGAAAATAAATTCACTTTCTATTGTTTTATCCAAAAAGCTGAGTTCCTGAACAGTTTTCTGTAAATAGTTTTTTAAATAAAATGCAGTCATTTCTGGAACATATCAAATTTTCTTTCTTGAAACAGATGCTTTGAACAGGTTTGCTCTATTCCTGAGTATGGCTTTTATTGTGACATGGAGCCACTTTTTTTTCTCGTAGGAGCCAATATATTTGTGAAATCACTTTTTGAGGGGTTATTAGTGTATCTTGCATTACATCTAAGTTTTGATTAGTGAATGGGTAGCATGAATCAACCTATAAGACTTCAGGGAACCTGCATTTTGAGCATCCCTGTATATTTTTAAGTGTACTCAGCTTCTCTGAATTTTAAGAGAAAGATGAAGCAGAACAAATAAGAACAATTCTGTAAGGATTTTAACTTGTCAGTATTAAAAAAAAAAAAAAAAGTATAACTATTGGTTGTTCCTATTTTGCTTTGTCTAGGCCATGGGATCATTGAGAAATTCGGATACTGTTATAGGCGATCTAAGCAACACCAGTACTTGCTTTTCTTTTCAGATACCTGGTTTCTGGTGAGGGTGAGTGGGAATCGCAGAACTCTGTGAATAAAGCAACTTTCATGAGAATTACTCTGTAAATGGGCCAAATTTAAACTTCATTCTATTACATTGCACTTTGGTAGTTCATTTCAAGTCCAGAAACGGATGCTATTGCTTAAACTTAAATTCTGAGGCAAGAGGTTATGGAAACTGACCCTGAATTATAGTTTTTCTTTATGCCTTATTACATTTAGTGTTTAGCAGTCATCATGAAATCTCAGGAAGTATATCCTTTTAATATGTTACTATTATTCTACTGTTTATACTAATTCCATATACCTTATAATATTACTTTGGATTCTACCAATTCTTTACTTTTATTAAATGAAATGCCTCTAAGTCTGTCATTATTGCTGCTGTTGTAGTTAATCCTCACCCGAGGATATTTTTTCAATTAATTTTTTTAGAGAGGGTGGAAGAGAAGGAGGAAGGAAAGAGAGATACATTTTTTTTTTAGAGAGAATGGAAGAAAGGCAGAAAGGAGAGAGAGATACATTGATGTGACAGAGACACATCAATTGGTTGCTTCCCGCATGTACCCCACCAGGGCTGAGGGTCGAATCTGCAACCCAGGTACAAGCCCTTGACTGGGACTCGAACCCGTAACTTTTTGGTCCGAGGGCTGACACTCTAACCACTGAGCCAGATCAGCCAGGACTGGGTTTGTCCTTTGAGCCTTGGTATTGCCACTTGGTGCAGAGACAGTGTCTTGGCCCCAAAGGAAGCCTGTTTAGACTGCAGCAGTTCCTTTGAGGATATCTCTTTTAATAGCCCTGGTGGGAAGTAGCTGGGAGATAGGGCTACTTTTCATGTCTTTCCAGTTCCTTTCTTTGAGTTCATACTGAATTTGTAAGTTTAAATTCTTTTCTTTTAAATTTAGCTTTCTTTTTTTCTAAAGTAATTTATTTATATAGTTTAAAAAAATCAAATAGAACTAGGAAATAGTTCTACATGATTATAGTGAAAAGGAGTAGCTTCTTTCCCCCAGCTTAGCACTCCTGAGACAAGCACCTGCCTTCCTATTTGAAAATACAATAGTAATATTACTTTTTCTTGATTTATCAATTTCAGAAATGATTCTTAAATTCCTTTTATGGCAAGCGGGATTTACTTTTTGCCCTCATGCCTCTCAATATACATTACTCACAACTTGTTAAATTAATAGGTAATAAATGTTCACTGATGAACCCAATGTGGTTAATGATAGGAAGTCAACAACTATTCAGGCAAAGTGTATGTAACACATACCATTCACTTACTAGCAGTACCTTGTGAATTTGAAGACTGCCATGCTGACATGGTACTCAGAAGAAAGCCATTGACATACTTTTAAAACACTTTAAAAACGAGTTTAGCAAGTGTAATTCAGTAGCATACCAGTGCTTGACATGCCACCGTTTGTGTATAGATCACCCTTAGTCATCACTTGAGAGAAGAGTTTTAGTGTATTTCAATTTTGCATAGGTAGCAAACCCCCTTAGAAAGACTAGATGCTCTTCATTTTCTTTGCTGTGTTTTTAAAATCGTATCCATGATTTTTTTGGGGAAATTTACATATTGTAACTTTTCTTTATTGATTTTGTGAATTGGGCCACCTTGGCCACACAATATGCTATCTTGTTTACATATGTCACTTTTGGATTTAACTCCTGCAGGTGTTTCTCCCCCCACCCTTTGAGGGAGTAACAGAGTGATTATAATTTTAGATTATTATAACAGTTAAGGTTCATTAATGGCTTGATCTAGAGACCATTAAAGACTCACTGTGGTAGGTCTTCCCCCCCCCGTTTTTCACATGCTGTATGTTATTGCAATATTTCCTTTTTTCTAGCCCTGAAGAAGTCATGTTTGTATGTTATACAAATCATGGTTGAATGTGAAAAGTAAATTTCTAAGAGCTTTCCAGATTATCCATAATTAGCCAAAGAGAAAGTCATATGAATGTTTCCATTCTTTCTGAATTTACTTTTTTCTTATCACTTTGTTATTTTATCTTTTCTCCATTTTTAATTAATTATAGTGTCTCCTCCTTTCCCAAACCACCTCTTCAATTTCTCTATATTTGGTGGACTGTTTGGAAAAGAAAAAGAATCACTTGGGAAGGGTGGTGAGTTCAAGGGGACATTTAATTTAGGGTTGTATGTTTATTCACCCTTCTAAAAAGTCTTTGTTCAGTTAATATTCATTGCCTACTTACTAAGTGCTGTGTTGCTAGTATTCACCTTTGCTTTCTAATTCTTGAGTGCACTCAGCACTTAACCACTTTATCTTTAATAGTTTAGATAGGTTGAATATCTTAACTATAATTGGCTTCCCTAAATTTTCAATATTTAGTTGAATAGTATTTATGGTATTTATTATTCACATTTGCACACCAACTATTATTTTAACTTAAATAAAAAGGAGCAAGCATTGGAAGATATCATGGCTGTTTTAAAATAGCTTTATCTTTGTATATATAAATATTATTGAAGACATAAGCACATCATATTTTTTGCCTTTTAAATGTTTTTATTTTTGGTTAGCCATAACCAAAAATAAAAACACTTTATTTTTGTTTATTAATTACAGGGTCTCCCAAAAAAATGGATACACACTTTGAATAATTATTAATTCCAATGGGATCAATCTATCAATCTGAAAAGAAAGAAACATCAACTGATCTATCAGTTGTTAAAGTGTGTATGCATTTTTTGGGGGGACACCCTGTATTTATAATGGTTCTTGCAACAAGAATTTGTGGGTGTTTAAATGGACAGTTTGTAATTTTAGAAGTTAAATAAATTAGAAATGCTGAAATTGAGGGAAAAGCTAGTTTCTAAATATATTTAGTAACCTATTAGCAAATATGGCTTTAAATGAATATAACTAAGCATTTTAATTTTGAAACATTTTGAGAATAGGATTTTTATTTCCAGAGGAAAATAAATATTATTCAAAAATATAAGTATATTTTTGTTAGTATTCTTTTTTCTTTTTCCAAATGCTAAAAGGTGTACTTTATATTTTTGTTATGAAAATTCTGCTTATTTAAAGTATTGTAGCACTTTTATAAATCAATAAAACTGAGTCATGCCAACAGTATGGGGGGAAATGTTTAATATATTGTATTTGCCATGTCAGTGAGAAAAATTTAAGCACAGCATATTTTGAAAGTTTAAGGAAGGGTAATCCTGAGCTTTTAAAAAATAAGACAACTGGCTTGTTGCACACTTAAAAGTAAAATCTGGTTGGCTAAGTTAAAGTTAGTGCTGTTATGTGAGCAAAGACAGAAGTAATAATGAACCTGTAAGTGACAGCATTAAGTGAATCAGTTTATTTGGCTGGATCGGGGGCTCTCCATAGTGGCTGCACATTAGAAACCCCAGGGAGAATTTAAACTTCCTCATGCCCAGGTTGACTCAGACCAATTATAGTGAGTCTTGGGGGAGAGCCGGTGGTGGTGGTGGGGGGGGTGCGACCAGTCATCAGAGTTTTTTTAAGCTCCCAGTAGCACCATTGGTTAGCCAAGGTTGAGAACCAGTGAACTAGGTGGAAACCCTTGTATTTAAGAAGTGGTATGTGTGTATAGCATTAAAGTTTGGGGTCATCATCTCACAGCCTGAAAGGCCAGGCATTTTTCCGGGTCCCTAGGTGCATAGTCTGAGGCAGTGGTTGGCAAACTCATTAGTCAACAGAGCCAAATATCAACAGCACAACGATTGAAATTTCTTTTGAGAGCCAAATTTTTTAAACTTAAACTTCTAACGCCATTTCTTCAGAAATGCCCAGGCTG